GAGCGGGGTCAGGTGGTCCAGTAGTCAGCTTGGCCGAGTGGTTAAGGCGTTAGCCTGCTAAGTTAATGGGGCAACCCGCGTGAGTTCGAATCTCACAGCTGACGAGCCTTTTCTGACACAGTCGAGGATCTTTGTCGCTAAACGATACTGCACAGTTTCTAGAAGCTGCAAAAAAGATTTTTGTTGTTTCGCCTGCTTTTTGCATACTGGATGGAAATATATATGGGAGGGAGAGGGAAAGCAGTGGCTGGGGTTGGCACCGAATGGGGAGTTTTGATTGGGTGACTTGTAGACTTGAGACGTTTGATTGGAGGAAAAAGGAGAGGAGTAGGTGAAGCCTCGACCTCGTCACGACTAGACATTTCCCATTTTGGCGACGACAGGAAACATGGCAACTGAAGAAGAAAAGGTGGTTGTGGCTGCTGAAGAAGATAACGAAAACGATGAAGGCGGTGTTGAAACCGGTGCCTCGGAAGAGCCGCAAGCATACTTTGAACCCGTTGTCAAGCTCAACGAAGTCGAAGTTGTGTCCGGTGAAGAGGACGAAGAAGTGTTGTATACTACACGCGCAAAGCTGTTCGACTTCCGCGAAACGTTACTGAACAAGGGCACTGGTGAAAAGACTTGGTGCGAACGTGGCGTGGGCAACGTTCGCTTTTTGAAGCACAAGGAAGCCGGCAAGGTTCGTCTCCTGATGCGTCAAGAAAAGACGCTGAAGATCCTGATCAACCACTTGGTCGAATCCCGTGCCACTTTGTCTGCAAACATGGGCAGCGACCGTGCTTGGGTGTGGACGTGCTACGACTTTTCCGAAGGCGTCGTCGAACCCAAGACATTTGCCCTTCGATTTACCAGCGCTGAAAATGCGCAAGCATTCAAGGAAGCTCATGATGAAGCGAAGAAGACCAACAAGGTGTTGGAAGCTGGCTCTGATGCTGCTGACACTACTGCCGGTGACGAAGCCGCGAAGGCATTGGAAGGGCTGGCCGTGAAGAAGGATTAACCCGATGTCAGTGGAAACTGTGGCGACGAGACTACTCAGCGAGTGCAAGGTAGTGCCCGCGCCAACAGGTGGTTCCGCAGTTAATTCGCTCTAATTTTATATTTCAATCAACCACCTGTGGCCAGAACTTCATCAAATTCCAACATGCATACTCGATCCAACGGGGCTTTGGTTGCTGGATGGAGTTCATCACGATCGTTGACGACAGTGCCATTGACAGGGTTAGCTCTTGAAGTACAGCCAAAGCCAGCCTCTTTTGTACACTTCAAACATGGACACTATCCGTCCGCGAGGGTGTTGATTGCCGCCTGGTGCGGAAGTAGGCGCAAGCACGCGTCGTCGGGGTGCAGCAAGGCAACCTTTGTCTGCGCGGTCGGCGGCGGGGCCTGTGTGTACACGACCAGGCCAGCCAAGATACAAACAAACCCGACGCAGTAGAGCCAGCTCAAGCTTTCATGAAAGAGGAAAATGCCAGCGAGCACCCCAAAAAAGTCAGACGTCAGCAGCGACATGTTAAAGATGGCCGAGTCGCCATCGCGTAGCATGATCTAAACAAGTGTTCCATTGACGTTTGCAAACATATCGGGGGTAGGACCCACCGCTGTGACCGAGTACATGAGGAACAGGGCGGCCACATATAGCGTGAAGAAAGCGACGCTTCCGATGGACCTACATCGAAGCAACGAGTCACGAACGAGCCTTGTGAAGTCGAGTGCGAACCAAGAAACGACCAGAAAACTGTCGCGCTCGACCAAGTAAGCTTGTAAGCCGCAGATGACAAAGCCATACAAGCCAAGGTTGCCAAGGAATTCGCTCTACAGCGCGAGTAACTTGGACGAACTGGAAGAAGGGATGAACTTGTACCCGAGACTTGGTCTTGACGAAATATTCCTGGGCAACGTTCGACACGCCGTAGATGGTAGCGCCAAGAAGCGACAGCGCATCGCCAAACAGCGCCGTCGTGTTGAAGCTGTCTGACGTGAACGACGCGTCTTTGCAGTTGATGATATCAGACACGACGAGGAAGCAAATGCCAAAGAGGCATAGGCCCACGCCAGTGTAATGCTGCGTAGAGTACTGCAACAAACACAGATCAGCGTGGACATGGACTCAGGAACATACCTTGGCATGGAGAAACGTGATGGAGAGGAACATGACCACGGGAAGGGTAAAACAATCAAGAAGCATCGCACTACTGATAGTCGTGTACTTGTACGCCAGCACGACGAGGAAGTTGGCTTCCACGTCGGCAAATGCGAGCAACGTGTACTTCCACCAAGGAGTCTACGTCCACATGAGTGAAACCAAAACAGAGCCTGCAAGAGCTAACCCCTGATGAACTCTCATCGCGCATCCACCATCGATAGACAAGGTATCCGATGAGCAGCAAGTAATTCCCCACTGATTGAGTTGTCGCAAGATGCACCTACGCAATGCGTTTAATGGCGCGCATCATGACAGATCCACTTTCATACGTTATAGTTTAACGTCAGCTCCTGTGTGCATACACTTGTGACCGTAATGAAGAGTGAGATGACTTGCCCGAGGCACAGCACTCGGTGATGCTCCTGCATGGAGTATGACCTTGGTTGGCGGCGATCTCGACCCAGGGTTCTGAAGAATCTTCGATTCAGTCGAACTTCGACATCCGGATAATCTTTGTCATCAACGTGTGCAAGCAACGTTAAGTTCAACGTCAGTGCTTCAAAGGTGGTAACGTAGTGAGGTCATGGCATTGCCTGTCTCAGTGGTATTATGGAGCGATGGACACATGAACCTCGCGGACAATGCGGACACGGTGGCAAAGAGCGGCGCATACCCTCTGCCTCCATGTCTCAAGAGCAGACAAATTCTATAGGCTAGAATAACTTGACATAGAATTAGAAAGTCGTTTGAGTCGACATTATCCGGATATTTTCTTCGATCTTCGGGACGTCGGCGGCGGACATGGGGCGTTACTTTGGAAGTGAAGTGGCGGCACCGAGCAGGAGTATGCAGCGCTTGGAGTGCGTCGTGCAACAGTATGCATGGGGAAAGAAGGGAACATGCAGTATCGTTGCCAATCTCAAGGTATAAAGCTGTTCCTCTTCGTCTCCTGCTGTACCACAACTTTCGTTTTGAGTCCGATGCATCTGTTCAGGCGGCGTCGGACAAGACGTACGCTATCAAGGACAATGAACCGTACGCTGAACTGTGGATGGGGACACACCCGAATGGCCCTTCGTCCATTGCAGACACATCTCAACTTCTTTCAGAGTGGATCAAGGTACATTTGTCCCCACTCTCGCATCTCGCTCCATCTTCCTTCCCACCTCAGAATGCCGAGACAGGAGAATCCATGGGCTCTTGGCAACACCACCGACATTCCGTACCTATTCAAGGTCCTCTCCGTGAATCAAGCCCTGTCGATCCAGGCACACCCCGACAAATCTGCTGCGAAGCGATTGCACAAGGATTTTCCCCATATTTACAAAGATGCCAACCACAAACCCGAAATGGCGATTGCCCTTACCCACTTTGAAGCCTTGTACTGCCTCAACACTTTCCCGATTCTCCTAACGACGTGATAACTCTTAGGTGCCAATTTCGTCCCATGGCTCAGATCGTTAACAATATCACACACGTCGAGGAGTTCCGCCTCCTCGTGGACCCATCCGTGGCGACTGCTGTCGTCGAATTTCAGGACCTTCCATCCCTCCGTGCCTTTTTCCGCGCGATGATTTATTGCGATCCCACCAAAGCTACGGCTGCCCTCGCGAGTCTTCGTACCCGACTGGAGTCCCTGCGCGAAAGCCTCTCACCTCTCGACGCTCTCGTCCTACGGTTGAACGAACAGTACCCCAACGACATTGGCGCGTTCTCGCCCTATCTGTTGAATTATGTGGTGCTTGAGCCTGGTGACGCGGTGTTCCTTGGCGCGAACGAACCCCATGCGTATCTCTCCGGTGAGAATCGTCATTGTGGATGGCTTAACTCATGCAGACTGCGACCAGGCGAGTGCGTCGAGTGCATGGCTGGGTCGGACAATGTCGTGCGTGCAGGCCTCACGCCCAAGTTCATCGACAAGGCGACGCTCGTCGATATGCTCACGTACAACGTTGGTTCCCCGCCCGTGCAGTGTGGCAAGACTGTCGACGAGTTCTTGACCCGATACACCTCGCCCGTCCCCGAGTTTCAGGTCGAGCGAATCACGTTGCCATCATCCAAGACGTACAACTTGGAGGCCACTGCAGGACCGTCTATTCTCCTTGTGTTGAACGGCCAAGGTGTCGCCAGTGTGCAAGGTGGAGCTGAACTCGACGTGGGCACCGGGCAGGTATTTTTTGTTCCGGCAGGCTATAGCGTCACACTCACAAGCAGATCGGACGGACTCGTCGTCTATCGGTCGTCGCCGAACGAGAACGCACAGAAATAGTACATGATATCAACACGTCGTCCTTTTTCTGCGGCACCGTCGACTGTCCTCATTCACGCCGGCTCGCCTCCTCGGCGACGGTACGCAATCAAAGTACTGGTTGCATGTATATCCGCATTCCAAAACGTATTATCCGGACGTTCGTGCTGGTTACCATTCACTATCTCGAGCAAACACATCATGAGCTCGAAGAAGAAAGGGAAGAAGGGCGCCAAGGAGCAACCAGATGAGAACGTCCCTTTGCATCCACTGAAGCTGGAAGTTGGGCGCCTGCATCATGGAAGTGCAGATCCCCGCGCAGCACAGGTCATTTCCCGCATCAACATGCACTTGCAGGATATGAAAGCGCGGCGTTTGAGTTTCGGTGAACTTGTGGTCGTGTCGACAGACACAAGTCCACCGACTCCTGTCATGTGCGGAACAGTCTGGCCTTCAGACAAAACGAAACCTGGTATGGTCGTGCTGGGCTCTGTGTGGAAAGAAGTGGCGGAGAGAGCATCGTCGCAAGCCGTGACGGTGGCTACATTGTCCAGCACTGCGACTCGAGTCGTTGCCACGCAAGTGACGCTGCAGGCGCTGACACAAGTCCCAGTATCCGACAAGGAACAGTCTCTCCTGGGTCAATACGTTGCGTGCATGATGATTGGCATGTACGTGCTGAACGACGCCATCCTTGTCCTCCCAGTGCATGGCGCAAGTCGCCGGTTTCAAGTCATCCAGTGCTCGTCCAAGACGAAAGTTATTCCATCATCTGTGCCTTCTACTACTATCTACTCTGTCGACACTTCCACGTCCGTGAATGTCCACTGGGCATCGTCAGCAACTAGTTCAGTTGTGAAAAGCACAACGCCAACATTTCAAGCTATTGGTGGCCTACAAACTCAAATTGAAGCTGTGAGACAGCTCATCGAACAACCTTTGATCCATCCTACGCTTTTTGCATCGTTTGGCTTGCCTCCACCGAAAGGTGTGCTGCTCTACGGCCCACCTGGTACTGGCAAGACGCTGATCGCTCGGTCAGTGGCCCACGCAGCCCAAGCCGCGGTTTTCACCATCAATGGGCCCGAACTCTTGAGCAAATTTGTTGGTGAAAGCGAAGCGAATGTACGATTCACTCACTCGTTCCACACCATGAGGGCCGATAGCGTATCCTTAGATCCGCGCCGTATTTGCCGCCGCCGCCGCGCAAAGCCCCGCCCTCGTCTTCATCGACGAGATTGACTCGCTATGTCCAAAACGCGATGGCCACGTCGGAGACATGGAAAAACGAGTGGTTGCTACGCTCTTGACATGCATGGATGGATTGAGCGCATCTCCAGGTACCATCCGTCGATCCATTTTGAACTTGCTTTGCCTCACTAGTCACGGCAGGAGTAGTCGTATTGGCAGCTACAAACCGACCGAATGCGCTGGACCCAGCGCTGCGCCGTCCTGGTCGTTTGGACCGCGAGATTGAGATCCCGATCCCAAGCGCCCAAGACCGTCTGGCCATCCTCAAGGTGACTCTGGCCAAGATTCCGCACGCGCTGACCCCTGATTCGATGGACAACGTTGCAAGCAAATTACATGGATATGTTGGCGCTGACATCAACGCGCTTTGCAAGGAAGCTGCTCTCCTCGCACTCCATCGGGATCGCCATGACGTATGCCGTACATGGTGGGCACTTTTGTCGATAACAGTGCACGACGTGTAGATAAAAGTGACTGACGGCGACGTGAAAGCTGCCATGAAGGTTGTGTCCCCCAGTGCACTTCGCGAGATATCCCTCGACATTCCCCGCGTCCTGTGGAGCGAAATCGGCGGTCAAGGGATGATCAAGCAACAGCTAAAGGAAGCCGTCGAGTGGCCATTGAAGCACCCTGATGCGTTTGTTCGCATGGGAATTCGTCCTCCTAAAGGCATTCTCCTCTACGGACCACCTGGCTGCTCCAAAACACTCACTGCGAAAGCGCTGGCAACGGAAGGCGGCATGAACTTCATTGCAATCAAAGGCCCCGAGCTCTACTCAAAGTGGGTCGGTGAATCGGAAAAGGCCATCCAGTCCATCTTCCGCAAAGCCAAAGCGGCAGCCCCGAGCGTCGTATTCTTTGACGAAATCGACGCTGTCGCGAGTTCCCGCGGTAGTGGCAGTTCGGGGGTGAGTTTGCGCGAGTCTTGCGCATGTCGTTGATAGGTTGGTGTGTAGGTGGCCGATCGTGTGCTGAGCCAACTGCTCAACGAACTCGACGGCATCGAAACTTTGAAGCAAGTGATTTTGGTCGCTGCGACAAACCGACCCGACCTCATCGACAGCGCGCTGATGCGTCCTGGGCGGATAGATCGCGTGTTGTACGTGGGACCTCCAGACGAAGTGGCCCGGGCGGAGATCTTGACCATTCACACACGAAAAATGCCTCTTGCTCCCGATGTCGTGATTCGTGAGCTGGCCAAGGCAACGACCCGCTATTCCGGTGCAGAATTGGCGTCGCTCTGTCGAGAAGCAGCGTTGTGTGCCATGCAAGAAGATGTTGAAGCGCTGCATATTGCCAAGCGCCACTTTGACTTTGCACTGGCTCAAATTGTACCGCAAATCAACGATTCGATGCTCGCCTTTTTCGACGCCTATCGCGAATCCCATGCCAGGGCGTAAACAACTTGAGAGATCCACCACGCATCCTGGACACTATTAACATCTATTACGCCGTTAACATCCATCATGACTCGGTGCAAACGGAGCTTCAGAGCCACCAAGTCCTACGACAGAATCCAGCCCAGGCCGAAGCCGCGACTGGCGAATCACCAATCTGCGAGCCACGTTACCAAGATGCGACCCTTGGGTACAAAATATGACCAATCAGAGCGCTAGATTCACCCAAGATCGTCTGTGCGCCAATCAAAACCATTCATTGCATGAGCCGGCACATTCCTAAGCAGCGCTCAATTTCGCAATTGAGTTGACCTGCCACCGACTACTAGACAGGAAGTTTGTATAGTTTGGAGCTGGTCAGGCGCGACATGGCGACCCTCAAGGCACTCCCGTGGCGTCATATGCCTTATAAAAGCTTTTGAACCCTTCGATCCGTTCACTTTTCAATTTGCCTCAACCGCGATGGCCATTGGTTTGGATATCGACACGGGTTCCATTGGGTTCCCCCGCATGGGCCCCAACCGCGAGCTGAAGTTTGCCCTGGAAAAGTTCTGGAGGGGCACCATCGACGAAACTCAGCTCCGCGCCGTGGCAGAGATGGTTGAAACGCAAAATTGGACCGCCCAACAAGCCCGCGGCATTGACCGCGTCGCGGTGGGTATGTTTTCGTTCTACGATCATGTGCTGGACTGGACAACTTATTTGGGCACTGAGCCTCAGCGCTTCCAGAATATCACCAACGGCCTTGACCGATACTTCGCGATGGCTCGTGGTGTCGATGGCATCCCTGCCTTGGATATGACCAAGTGGTTCGACACCAACTACCACTACGAGGTTCCGGAATTGAATGTCCACACCGCCCCAAAGGCGAATTTTGGTTTGTTCCTTGCCACCGTCCAACGTGCTCAAAACGTGCTGGGTGTCGACAAGGCTGTGCCTGTGATTTTGGGGCCCCTTACCTACCTCGCGTTGGCAAAATACGACCAAACAACCACGCTTGCCCAAATTCTCATCAAGATTTTACCGCTGTATGCGCAACTGCTCCAGGAATTGGCCACCCTCGGTGTGAAGGAAGTGCAAATCCACGAGCCTGCCCTCGTCGGCGCCCATGCACATGCAATGCTACCGCACCTGACCACCGTCTACGGGTCAAAGGACACGTCGGGGGCTTTGACGCACGACGCTGTCGCACTGCACTTGGTCACGTACTTCGAAGCCATCGACGAAGACGTGTACAAGTGGTTTATTGATTCCAAGATCGCGGCTTTGTCATTGGATTTCACACGTGGTGACAACTTGAGCATCTTGGAAAAGTTTGGCTTTCCATCTGGTAAGCGGCTGGGCGCTGGGGTGGTCGACGGCCGCGGCATTTGGAAGGTGTCTACGTCATTGATCGCCGTGATCAAGACGATTGTCGACGTCTTGTCAACGAATCCGAACGCGGCGGTGACAATTCAACCCAGCTCGTCACTCCAGCACGTGCCGTACACGACAAAAGCCGAAGTGAACTTCCAGAAGAACCTCGCAGCCCTCTTTGGCGTGCTTAGCTACGCCTATGAAAAGCTGGACGAAGTCGTGGTGATCGCAAAGGCCATTCAATCGAACACTCTGGATGCAGCCTTTGAAAATGTCGCGTCTGCGTGGGCCACGTACTACAAGGAGAACCCAGCCAAGGCAGCAGTCCGATCTCGTGTGGCCAACGTGACGGAGTCGGACCTGAAGCGTCCGTCCGACTTCGCCACCCGCCGTCCCCTGCAAATGACGACCTGCCCAATCTTGCCCACCACGACAATTGGGTCGTTTCCACAAACCCCCCAGATTCGTGCGCTTCGCTCGCAGTTAAAGGCTGGCAAGATCACCCAAACCAGCTACGAAGCTCAAATCGATGCTCAAATCGCATACAACATTGGCGTGCAAGACGCTCTTGGTCTCGATATTCTCGTCCATGGGGAGCCTGAGCGCACGGACATGGTCGAGTTCTTTGCCGAGAAGCTCAACGGGTTTGCGTTCTCGCAAAATGGTTGGGTGCAGTCGTACGGATCCCGCTGCGTTCGCCCCCCCGTTATCTACGCGGACTTGGAGCGCCCTGAGGACATGACAGTGCGCGAATTCGTCGTTGCCCAAGGCGTTTCGGTGAACAAGCCGGTCAAGGGCATGCTTACTGGCCCCGTGACGATCTTGAACTGGTCGTTCCCTCGCCTCGACATCTCGCGCAAGGATCAAGCGTACCAACTTGCGCTGTGCCTTCGCGACGAAGTGTCCGCGTTGGAAGCTGCTGGCTGCTCCATCATCCAAGTCGACGAACCTGCACTGCGCGAAGGCATGCCGCTGAAGCCGACGAAGAAGGATGCGTACCTCCGATGGGCGGTTGACGCCTTTCGCTTGTCCACGGCGGTCGCAGCGAACGCGACGTCCATCCACACGCACATGTGCTACTGCGAATTCAACGACTGCATGCCGAGCATCGACGAGATGGATGCCGACGTCAACTCGATTGAAAACGCTCGCTCCGGCGACGAAACCATTCGTGCGTTCAAATCAATTGGGTACAAAAAGAACCTCGGCCCTGGCGTGTACGATATCCATTCGCCCGTCGTGCCCCCCAAGCAGGAAATCGTGGACAAACTGCACAGCTTCCTCGCGCTGTTGCCTGCGTCGCAGTTGCTTGTAAACCCGGATTGCGGGTTGAAAACCCGCCAGTGGCCCGAGACCATCGCGGCGCTGAAGAACATGGTGGATGCCACCACTCAAGTCCGTGAAACATTGAAGTAAACATGCCCCAGTCTCGTCCGTGTCGACCAGGCACAAGCCCATGGTTCGCACGACAAAGCTACCAACCTCTGCGATGCACGGCACTTGCACGAGTGCACACGCTGTCCCATAGCTTGGTGCAGGCTGCATTATGATCACCATAACCTCGAGCGCATGATGAATTCGTCTGCCCCTAGCCCTTTATCAGGGCATGCGCTCTACAAAGCATGCCCAGGACGGTGTCGTGACGCCACACACATCATCAAAGCATGGTCCTCCTGCGCTGGCATCGCTTGCTGCTGGTGTGTTTGTGTGCAGGCATCGGTGTGCCAAGTGCAAGCGCGCATTATGTACTGCCACGACGAAAAGTTATCGTACGTGTTTGGATGAACCGAGTATTGGCGACGCGCATTTGCATTTGAGCGGGAAACGCAGGGCTCTCACTGCCCCACAACTGGCAGCGGCACACAACTTGGAGTCCATGATCTTGCCTTCGCCTTCTCGGCCTGGCATCGTGTGCCTTCGCCGTTTGCCAGCCGACCATCTTTGCTACCCGTTTCATTCCGAACGATTTATCGTCGAACTGGACTATCTTGACCGGCATACAGTGCAGTGGGTGCGCCGGTGGCACTGTGACCCCGATGTAACACTGAAGAGTGGCGGCAACGGGCAAGCTCAGCGGGTGGCACTCACTTTGCGCGCAGATGGACGAGCCCAAGGTCGTTCGCACGGGCGTGCTGTACAAGAAAGGGAAAAAGGTTGGCGTGTTTGGCCGAGACAACTGGAAGCCGCGCTTCTGCGTCCTCACGTGGTCCAAGCTCCAGTACTTCACATGCGAAGGAGGCATTCTAAAAGGCGAACTTGACTTGACTCGATGCGGCCGAGGAGCTATTGCCGTCATGCCCAACGACTGCATGAAGACTGGACGATCCGCGTCGTCCATTTGGCGGGTGGCCATCACAACTCCGCACCGCCGCTTCTTGATCGCCGCGCCAACAGAGTTTGACATGCGTGATTGGATTCGAGACCTTGTCAAGGTCACTATGCGACACGACGTTCCCATTCTCGGCGCGTCCTCGCCATCCAACACAGAGGCCGAAGTGTACCGAACACATCCCTTTGCACGTCCGATGCTGCTCGATTCGCTCGACGTCCTAGCCAAGACAAACCGCCGCAACATCACGCTAGTCCCAGGGCAGCTACAGCTGCGCCGGGGCCTGCGTATGGCCCAGCATCACGAACGCGACAGAGCTGCCGCCGACATTATTTAGCATCTATGTACCAAACTTACGATTCACTTGCATTCGTGACAGCGTCCTGCCGATGGAGGACAGTCTGGTCAGCAACAACGTCGCGAAGTGTCCTATTCGCTACCGTAGGCAGTTAGAGTACCGACGAACACACGATTCGATTATCGCGCGACAGCGTAACAAAATCTCATCTTGACGAAGTGGCCAGCGCATTCCTCCAGCAAGCGGCGAACACAGTCGTTTGACATGCACGTTCATAAATATCCTATTAAGTCGAGGCAGTCTTGCTCGTGAGAATGCGCTTATGCCACCGGCACTGTAAGTCCGTCGCAGCTAAACCGGTCCCTCTGCTGCTGGGCAATCACTCTTCGCCGAAGGTGGACCCTGGCCGGCATGAGAGTGAACCGACGAGGGTTGGCGCGCGCCAACAGGTCCACCGAGTCCATCAACGATGGCCTCACAAAGCTAGTAGGTAGATTGACGTCCGACGGCCGCACGACATCGCTTGCCTTCCCTTCCGACCGCTCGAGACGAGATATGACGTCCATAAGGTCCTCAAGCCATTCGTTCATTTCGTACTCGGACACGGCTGCAATGAAGAGTCGGCGCGCAGGAGTCGACACGGAAATGCGCCAAATCGACGATGCAGAGTGTCCTGTTTTCTTGCAATCCTCTGGCATAACTTGAATGTCTTTCGAAGTACATTGGCGCAAGTCGATTTCGCCCTTGAGCTCGCCGCCCTCGTGCAGGTAGTACGACAGCTTGTTCCAGGTGAGGGTGAAGTACCGCGGCTTCCAATTCCGTCGACCAAAGAATCCAGTCTTCGAGCCCTTCTTGTACAAAATTCCCGTGCGTACAACGTTGTCTTCTGTCATGGTAGAGGCCGAGGACGGACACGTCGACGGCGCGGGGGCTGCGGCTTCGATCAGAGACGTCATGGTGTGGCGGTGGTGGAGAATCTCGAAGTGGACGGGTTCCTCATCGCGGCACGCATCTCATCTTGAGTTGAAATGAGGGATCCATTTTCAAGGTCAACGGCGATTGGCTGTCCATCGTCGAGGCGCGATCTGATTGGACCATGAACGCCTCTCACCTTGTGTTTTACTCGTTTAACGCACGTCGCCCCGCTCACTTAAGTGTTTTGACAATAGGTAGAATTAGCAATTCGGCCCAAAAAACACCGAACATTCGCAGGTGGGAGAGGTACGTGGCATCCACAGTCGTTGGGTTGTTTTTTCTCTTGGAGTTTGTATGCTCCTTGAGACATTTAACCAACTGCGGCAGACTGTCTCACAGAGACTCGAAAGTTTCACGGCGATCTGCTGTTTATTGCTAACGTCGGGGGCGACCATGGCGTTGTTTAAGGCTTGCCACCCCGTCGTGGTCAACATAGCCTGATGGGTCCATTCTCCGTCGATGCATGTGAAGAAGGCGAGTGCACGGGGGCTTGTTCTGTGTTTGTCCAGCCAAACTTGCCCCATGCTGGGAAATGTCCAGAACGTGATGACAGCTCGAAATATGTTGCTTGTAAGCGCTGGCCTGGTGCGCTTCTAACAGAGATGTTCACACATCCACCTAATTTTTTCCAACATATAAGGTAGACATCGCGGATTGGCTAAAATTACGGGACTGAAATCCAGCCAATCCATTTGAGAGATTGGAATTTCTGTCACGGATTGGTTAAAATTATGGGAATAAACATGCAGCCAATCCAACGATGGAAAGGGGCGGTTGGTTCAGTCAGTTTTCCCTGCCGCAGCTTTTCAGCCATGAACCGAGTCTTCGCCACCCCCGCCAACTTGGCGTTCGAACTGCAGCATGTTGCCAAGACGATGGCCCCGCTTGGTACGACTTGATTTCACGTCTGTTAGCGATGCATTGCCTCATGGTATTGAGTAGCTCCTTGGGCTGCCCCTGGTGCCGTCATCGTTGGCTGGTTAGCATGGCCCGCGTTAACCCCTGAATACAAGGAAGAAACCTTTGGCGTGAAGCCTCCGGTTGCCCCTGGCGTTGCTCCTGCTGTTGGCGCGTCGGGCTTTCGCAAGTTCAAATATGTCAAGAACGAAATCGGCGAACGACCTTCGTTGGACGACGAATAAAGATAGACGCACGCCCCATGAGGAGAGGTTGGGCCACGACGCCGCAACAAGCAACACTGCCCAAATACACCCTTCTTGTTCATTGCGGCGTCTATTACACTCGTGTTGTTTAACCTTCATGAGTTGGGTCGCGACGCAGCATCACGTCGATAAAGCACCGCGGTTTCTTGTCTGGCTGAGGAGGTTTCCAGTGTCTTTTTCGCATGTTGGCAAACCAATTCTTCACTTGTGTGTCGCTGAGATGGGTCAACGCTGCGATTTCAGCACGCTCTTTTGCCGTGGGGTACGGGTTGCTCTTGTGGGCGAGGAACCAGGCCGTCATGAATTCGTTCGATTGCCGAGCCAGGCGTGCCCTCTTCACCTTTCGCTCGTCATCGTCCGAGTCGCAGCTCTTGATGGAGAGTGGGCTGCTGCTGCTGCATGTGCTGCTGCTGCTTGTTCGCACAAGGGAACTCCGCGCGAGGGTTTCGCTGATGCGGTGGCTCAGTTCCTGCACGTATCGAAGCAACTTGACGTGTAATGTCAACAGCACCAGCAATGTTGGCGTGACCTTGGCACAGACGGGAGCCTGGGCTTGTGCTATCAGCTTGGCGAGCTCTCGTTTCGTTGGAAAGGTGAATCCACTGCCAAACACAGGCCCAGACGGAATGGCGAGCGCGGCCATTGCGCGCCGAATCAATGGTGTAAACGGGTGTGCCTGCACCACGTCCAAGAGGGACCCTGGCGGCTCCGCGTCCAGACGGCGATGGCACGACGGTCGTGGAGAGTAGTTGGGGAGATTCGGCAAAGTCATGATGGACAATACTTGCCGAGTGTGTCGACCTCAGGCACGTCGAAAGAGTCTCGTCCCATCACATCGAGACAGAACGCAAGCAACAATGCTGGGACTTCTGGCCGATCCATGGCCCGATTATATTGATGCAACTGTCGTCGGCTCGCCTTCGTGGGTGGACTCATCAGTTGGCGATTCCCCATGACGCTGCCCAACCAGCCTCACTACGTCCCGACAGCGTCGGGATCGTGCGCCGCGAGCTCACCAAGCGACAACGACGAATCCAAGCCAGCAAACGTCAGCTCGAAGCAGTACGAAGACACTACAGCGGAGATCGTTTTGAGTTCGGGAAGCGCCAAACATGACGTGGCAGCCGCAGCGTCCCACCTGCACGCAGACCCGGTGTGGCACGCGATCGCAGACTTGTTTGCAACGTTTGAATCACTCGATGACCCGACCAAGACGGAGTACCATCCGTCACACCGACTATTGTCAGAAACTATGCTATTGTCCAAAACGGCATTCGTAGAAGAAGCTACGACCATGCTAGGGTATGCCGTTGGCGGGGATGCGGCGCGACTTGCGGCGCGGTATGCAGACGCCATCGAGATGCTTTTTGCGACCGCCGAGACGATGGTGCCGCCGCCACCGACGCTGTCAACGTCGCTGCATCAGCCACCTGCCTGCAAGCCGAAGAAACGAACCAACCTGTCCACAGACGCCAAGCGACTTCTGCGCACGTGGTTTGACGCCAACTTTCACCATCCGTACCCGACTGAGGAAGAGAAGGAACGATTCCGGCGGGAGGGCGGCATCACGATGGATCAAGTGAACAACTGGTTTATCAACACACGCGTCCGGGAGTGGAAGCCGAAGCTGCACAAGATTCTCACCGACTCGAACACCGCCATGCTCGATGAGATGCTGGTGAAAGTGAAGGCCCCGTACCAAACCCATGACTTGATATAAAGCAGAGGGTTACTTTCACCGATCTTTGCATTGTTTGTATCCTGGCTACGCTCGAGCGCGCTTGGCATGCTTGGCGCGCGGCACACTGGACGTGCCAGCTGACGACGTCGTCGAAGCGGCCGAGATGGAGGCGCTTGCAGGTACCGCAGCCGCGGCCACCTTTTCGGGAATCGGGTCACCGAGCAATTTTAGTTCCGCATGTTCCAAGGCATATTCGTGCACGTGAAGTCTCAAGCTCACACGCTCCTGCTTGTACATACGCGGCGCGTCAAAGCCCATGCCAGCGCCTGCTCCCATCCCCATTTGCATTTGCATCGCTTTGGCGTCTTCGTTCACTGCCATGCTCGTGAACATTGACTCGTCCGCGTCTAGAGACGAACGTACTGTTTCCTTTGCCGAGAAGAAGAGACATGAACCCGCTCATGCCAAACATGATGAGGAAGTACAGCGACAGCGACGACACGTATGACACGTCCAGCGTCCTATGCGTGCAAGTAAGGCGCACACAATGCAGGATGGAGATGCCTTACGCCATGTCGATTCCGCGCTGCAACATTGCCTTGAAGCGCTGGCTGAGCGAGAAAGGCACCTTGACTGGAGAGAAAAATTGGTTAGATCGACGGTGGGACGTCGAGAGGTCAGTCGAGTCGTACGCAAAACGAAGCCGCCGAAAAAGTACCCCACGAGTCCCATCATGACAAAGTTCGAGACCATGAAAGTCATGTTCCCCTTCATCATTTTCATCATGCCGGCAGGGTTCATCATTTGGTTCATTGCATCGCTCTTGACCTTCTCGCGCAGCAACCCTTGGACACCATCCTTCTTCTCCGACGACGTAAAGTAAAACTTGCGCATCGCAAACGCGCTCGGCTGGATGTACCGGCAATTCATGCGCAATTGGCTTGCCCTTCGCAACGCTTGGCTACAATTACAGCGTGAGCTATACATACCCATATAGACCACGGGGGTACAGCTGCCGCACATTTTTCGCACTTCTTCAAGCGCGCCAACTTCTTCCGTCTTCAGCAACACAGACACGTAGTTCCGTGCCATGGCCGAACACACGAAGAGAAGAATCATGGGGAGCACTACCCAGTCGCGGATGCTCGGGTCCAAGATGATTTCGCCCATCTCGTCGTTCTTGACTGCTATCAGGCTCTAGCGTTGTGGAAGCCGCCGAAATTGCTTGCGTTTTATCCGGATATAGATTTACAACGTTTTACCCGGAACGTATTTCCGCAGGTTGTCCGAATATTCCGCAAAACTCAAATCTTGGAGAGACGCATGGCGACCTACCGCCGTCGCCTTCTTGCGTGGTGCGCCGTCCTTGCGTGCATCGCTGCAAGCGTCCATGCATCGTCATGGATGTCATCGTTCTACGACACCATATCTGGCCCTACTGCCTTGAAGCGACGCCTCGGTAAGTTGTATCCATTTTCTTCGAAGGATTCTGACGCAATTCATGCAGTTGCCACCCCAACAAGCGTGAGATTCCTCCAGCCAATCTCTGGAAGTATGTCATCGCTGACGATGGATCTACATTTTGCCGTGGATGCTCCAGTGAATTCGACGTTGGCATGGCAACTACCACCGCCGTTCGCTTACGTCGACTTGCTGGACAACAGCGTTATGGCAACACTGACTGTTGATGGACAACAAAATGCCGTGTTTACCACCACAAGCGACTTGTCGACCCGTGTGATCTTGTTCACGCTCGTGAACAATGCGCTCATCACAGCAGGAAGCGGCATTCACTTGACCTTAGCATGTGCCGTACCGCCGTCGTCGGGCATACCAGACACGTACTCGGTTCAGCTTTTAGACAACTCGAACGGCCTTTTGGACACTGTGACCGCTCAACCTGCGACTGCTACTCAGCCAAGCACATTAAGAGTTGGGTACGTTGGCATGCAGTCCCATCGAGCAGCCCAAGACGCTGGCATCCTCGTGTCGTTTTCCACCGGTGTAGCCATTCCTTCCAACGGCGAGTATGTCTTTGAGCTTCACGCGGCATTCAACTTGAGCTCCGCTGTGGAGCTGCACATGCTGACTGGATTGGGCAATCACACCACCAGTCAAGCCAACAACGCCGTTAAAATCAAGCGGAACGGTGACGGTGGAGTGGTTCCTCCTGGGACCACCATCGCGTTTTGGCTCCGAAACGTGTGGAACCCACCATCAGACGGAGTGCTGAACAGCGTTGGCGTGCTGAAGACCGCAACAGCCGAAGAGTTTGTGCTGGAGCAAGTTGCTCTTGCCACAACAACCGTGTATTCAGGTGCGCCATCTCTATAAGCATGATCGACTTCTCATCATTAGAATGTAGCCGTCACCAATTGCTTGGCGAGGTGTGCGCCAGGCTTCACCACGGCGTCGTTTACACTGACGGACGACTCGTGCGTGCAATGTCCTGCAGGGGCGTTTTGTACTGGAGGCTGTGAACCCCCCACTCAATGTCCCGTGGGCACTGCATCCAGCGCCCTTCAATCCACGTCGGTGTCTGCGTGCCATGCGTGCCCTCCTGGGACAACCGCACCTTCAACAGGCAGCGTTGTGTGCACACCGTGCCCCGCTGGGATGCAGTGCCCCACTCCGACGTCGCCACCGGCAAATTGCCCCCCAAACACGTTTAGTTTGGGCGGGGCGGCGTCGTGCTCATCCTGTCCTCTCGGGTATGGGTGCTTGCAAGCATCAGCAGCCCCATTAGCTTGTGCCCCTGGCACTTACTCGTTGACGGTGAGGTTTCAACACCCTTTGTCGTACCAATGACGAGTGCAGGGAAGCTCACTGTGCACGACATGTCCACCTGGGTCTTCCTGCCCCAACGCGACGGCGCCTCCCCAACCATGTCCGACTGGCACGTACGCTCTTGGCAGCGCAGCGGTCTGTTCTCCCTGCATGCCAGGGCAAGCGTGCGCAATCACAACTGCCGCCCCCTTGACGTGTGTCAACGGCACATATGCAGATGGTCTTTCGACGGCGTGCACGATATGCCCTGCCGGATCGAGCTGCCCCACGACGACGAATCTTCCCATGCCATGCCCGTTGGGCACATACAGGTTGGACTAATGTTCGTAACGGCGCAGCTAAACGAGTGAAACTAGTCTGGCTGGGGCCATGACGTGCACGGCGTGCCCCGCTGGACGATCTTGCGTGTCACCATCCGTCATGCCCGTTGCATGCGCCGTTGGGACATACAGCGTGGAAGGAAATGGCACCTGCACGACGTGTCCGCAGGGGTATTCTTGTGTGAACAACGATCTCCAGCCTTGCAGCCCTGGCCAGTACAGCCTCCATGTAAGACTCTTTGTGAAGTCGTACGGCTGACGCGAGGAATTGCAGGGTGAAATCTATTGCACACCGTGTCCTGCTGGATCTAGCTGTGCGAGCACAACGCAAGCACCCGTGGCTTGTCCAAGTGGCGCGACGTCAACGGCAGGCCAACGCTCGTGTGATCCATGCGAAGCAGGGTTTCAGTGCCCGAACCCCTCGATGCCGCCCCAACCGTGTGGTGCTGGGTATTATTCTGGCGTAGGCAGCACGACATGCACGGTTTGTCCTGCAGGCTCGTTTTGCAATTCGACATCCATGCCGCCAATTCCTTGCCCGCTGGGTTCTACGAGGTAACGTTGCCAAACCAAGGAACGACGTCATCGTCGAAGCAGTTCCGTAGGAAGCACTGCATGCACACCGTGTCCTCCAGGCATGAAGTGCACGACAACGTCGGGCGCCCCCACGAATTGCTCTCCAGGGACGTACAGCTCTGGTTCGCAAAGCGCCTGCGTGACGTGCCCCGCTGGCTATGCCTGCTATTCCACGACACTGTCGTCCCCAGTAGCTTGTTTACCAGGGACGTATGCACTGGCCGGTGCAACCAATTGCACGACGTGTGCCCCTGGAAAGTATTGTCCAAGTGTGGACCAAGCCGTTCAACTGGCATGCCCGCCGGGGTCCTTTGCTTCTGGAGGCGCTGCCAATTGTACCCTGTGCCCAAGTGGATTTGCGTGCCCCACGCCAGACGGGTCCGGCAACGTGGCATGCGCGGCAGGGTACTTTTCCACTGGCGGCATGACTGTATGCACGAAGTGTGCCCCGGGGTTTTCGTGTCCTTTTACGTTCGCCAGCACGCAAATCCCATGCCCACCGGGGAAGTATAGCGCTGGTGGTCTCGCCGAGTGTATTCCATGTCCAGCTGGGTATGCGTGCGCAGATCCAACTTCCGCGACCAAAACCCCGTGTGCCCTCGGCACGTACTCGGACATTGGCCAAAGCAGCTGCACCCAATGTCCCGGTGGCTATCAGTGCTTGTCTCCCAGTAGCTCCAACATCACGCGGTGTCCATTGGGAATGTATGATGACAAATCAAGTGCGCCGAGGATTCAGTCGCTTGTTCTAGGTACTCGAAAGAAGGGCAGTTCGACTGCACTGTGTGTCCTTCCGGGTCCAGTTGTGGCGATCTTTGCGCGTCTCCCACGGCATGCCCCCCTGGGCACTATTCGCTGGCTGCCCAACCGTCCTGCACAGCTTGCCCTCCTGGTTACGAGTGCCCTCAGTCGACGCAGCCCCCTCAGCCTTGCCCAATTGGGTACTGGAGCCCTGGTTCGTCGGTGAATTGCTTGCAATGCAGCCCTGGCTATCGTTGCAGTTTGGCTTCGACATCTCCGACCCCTCCAGAGTATGACGGACGATCCTGCGCTTTGATTCACCTGAGTTCGTGGCTAGGGATGCATGTCCTGCCGGAGGGTTTTGCAACCCACCCACAACCTTCTTCATGTGTCCACCTGGGACGTATGGCAATACGACTGCTGGCCAGGTAAAAGCTCGCCTCGACATTCAACGTAAACTAGAGTTGCATTCTACGATAGAGCGTAGCGCATGCATGCACTCCGTGCCCCGAGGGGTTCTTCTGCCCGAGCGGGTCCACGTCTGTCAGTATGCAGCCCTGTCCTCCAGGCTTCTACTGCCCGCTTTCCACCGCAACGAGCACCACGTTTCCCTGTCCAGCGGGTCAATACAGTCCGGACTCGTATGCTACGTCAGCTGCCGCGTGCAGAAGCTGTCCTGCAGGCTCCTATTGCCCCGCAGGCAGCGCCAAACCAATCCTTTGTCCGTCGGGGTCATATTGCCCTGCAAATACGCAAAGCGCGACGCAGTTTCCGTGCCCGGCGGGAACGTATGGAGACAGTCAGAATGGAGCCACTACCGCCGCGCAGTGTATTCCATGCACGATGGGCAACTATTGCCCTCAAGGATCCGTGAGCCCAACTCCATGCCCAGCTGGCCACTACAATCCGTTCCAATCAGGGTCTGGCATCCACGAATGCATCCCGTGTCCAGCGGGGTGGTCCTGTCCCCACGTTGGCCAAATTGGGTACACTGACCTCTGCGCTCCAGGCCACTACTGTCCCATGCAGACGGTGTCTGCCTTCTCCAACGAGTGTCCTGCCGGGACGTTTACGGACAGCAGCAACCTCACTCGTGCTGCCGATTGCTCTGTGTGCCCGGAAAGATTTGCGTGCTACAGCGGTACCGGTGCCAACGCGTTGCAGAAGCTGAGCTGTGCCGCAGGTAAATTTGTCGATTCAGTACAGGACGCGTGGGTTCCTGACGATGGTTATTCAACAGGCTTTTTTTGCCCCAACGGCACCGCGTTCCCAAAGCAGTTTCCATGCCCACCTGGGTTTTGGAGCAGCAGCACGAATTTAGCTAGCGCAAGTGAATGCTCCGAATGTCCTGCCGGATCGTTCTGTTCGGGTGGAGGGGCTGCCGTGGACGGTCCATGTGCTCCAGGCCACTATTGTCCGATGCAAACGCCCGCTCGAGATCGCTATCCCTGTCCAGCTGGCACGTACACGGGGGCTACAGATCTCACCGATGCCTCCCAATGTTCCAGCTGTCCCCCCGGTAGTTACTGCCCTGAAGCGTGAGTGATTCAGTCCGCTCGAGAATTCTCTTGACGATTCGATGCTAGTTCGGTGGCTCCTGTGCCGTGCCCAGCAGGCTCGTACACGCCCGACATCAATACGACGGCCGCGGGACCGGGGGTATGGCCAAGGTGCACGTACTGCCCCGCTGGAAGCTTCTGTCCGGCTGGTAGCATCACTCCAAATCCATGCGGGGTGGGGTTTCATTCACCTCTGGGGTCGGGTGTCTGCCGCACGTGCAACGCAGGCTATTTCTGCGGCAGCAACACCACACCGACGGACCTGTTGCCGACCTCTGCAGGACTGTGGACCTCTCGTGGATCGGTGTTTGGTCGGTGCTACAACGGCACGTACTGTCCTCCTGGCATGACCTACGAGCCGACGCTTCAATCGAACGCGTGCCCCCAGGGCCATTACTGTCCGATTGCAACACCCACGCCGGTGTATTGCCCAGCCGGGACATTCAACAACGTAACTGGGATGGACTCTCTCAGTGGATGCATTCCAACTCCTGCTGGGTACTACAGCTTGCAGGTGACTCGGTCCTTCTCCATGAAGCCGATCGACTTGTGGTCATGACGTGCACGTAGGCCTCGATCGTTCCGACTGGCACTTGTTCACCGGGGTATTATTGCCCGCCCATGTCGACATCTGCGACGCAAGTCGCGTGCCCGCCTCGATATTACCTCGATCGAACGCAAGGGCGTGCCCAAGACGATTGCATGGTTTGTCCGGCTGGAAAGTACTGCACCATCGCGTCGACAAGGCCGATCGATTGCCCCCAAGGTTACTATTGTATCACGGGCACGTCAGACCCTGAGCCTTGTCCGCTGGGCACGTTTGGCAACGCCACCAACCTCAAAATGATGGAGAACTGCAACACGTGCCTGCCAGGAATGTACTGCGATGGAACTGCGCTTACAAATCCAAGTGGGCCATGCGATGCAGGGTTTTACTGCACGGGCGGCTCGTACACGTCAGCTCCAAGTGGCTCTGCTGGAACTGCAGTGTACAGCTCTGGTGGCTTAGTAGGAGGGTTGTGCTCGAAAGGGGGATATTGCCCCCTTGGCTCGTACACTTCGATTCCGTGTCCTGCCGGCACGTTCAACAACGCCACAGGTGCACCGCCGGTCGTGCCAACTTGGCATTGTAACAATTGTTTGGTTGCAGGGGCCCAGAGCTTTTCCGACTGTTCTCCATGCCCGCCAGGGTCGTACTGCCAAAGCAGCGGCTTGGCTTTACCAACGGGTGGATGTGCAGCAGGTTATTACTGCACATTGGCGGCAACGACGCCGACCCAAAACGAATCTCCCATCGGCTACTACTCACCGGAAGGAGCGTATGGACCTTCTGCCTGCGCCCCAGGAACGTACAACAACCAAGTGCGCCAAGCCAAGTGCACGAACTGCCCCGAGCGATTTTACTGCAACGGAACTGCTACTGTGACCCCCGAAGCGTGTCCTGGAGGGTACTACTGCCCCCAAGGCACGTCGTTGCCGCAAAAGTGCCCTGCTGGTACATTTAGCAACGTCACAGGACTCGCTCAAATCTCCGAATGCTTGCAATGCCCCCCTGGATTTTACTGCGCGTCCAGTGGGTTGACTCAACCTACCGGACCTTGCATGGCTGGCTATACGTGCACAGGAGGTACGTTAAGAGGAGACTCTTGAGTCCGCTTGAACATCCTACTTCAGGCGCTCCCTTTCAAAATCCAAACAACCAAGTGTTCGGGACGGTGTGCCCGACCGGCGCGTATTGTCCGCAAGGTTCTGCGATACCTGTGCTGTGTCCTCTCGGCACGTACCGCCCGAACATTTTAGGCCAGTCCCTCGCAGACTGTTCGCAATGCCCGGGCGGAACATTTTGCAACGGCACTGGCCTTGTCGCGCAGTCTGGGCTTTGTGCTGCATCGTACTACTGCACCCTGGCTGCTTCAACGCCCACACCGACCGACGGTGTTACTGGCAATATTTGCCCGATGGGGTACTTCTGTCCGGCCGGCGTGAGCCAACCGCTCAAGTGCGCGGAAGGAACATTTAGTGCTCTGCTTGGTCAAGCTTCGTGCACTCCGTGCCCGGCAGGATCTTACTGCGATGGGGTCCAAACGTCGTCGAGACTGCTGTGCCCAGCAGGGTTCTATTGCCCACCAGGAACAAATGCCAATCCGTACCCGTGCCCGATTGGGACTTTTAGCAATGCCACTGGACTTGCCAATGCATCCCAATGCACGCCGTGCACGGGTGGATCCTTTTGCAGCATGACTGGGCTCTCAATTCCAACCGGACCGTGTTTACCGGGATACTACTGCGTTGCTGGTGCTATCAACTCCCGAGGTCAGCTCAGCTCGAATGGAACCGTGGGTAGCTGTCCTGCTGGAAAGTATTGTCCTGGGGGCACGTTTTTGCCCCAGCCTTGTCCACTAGGAACGTACCTGCCATCGGTGGGTGGAATCGCTGTCGAAGATTGCTTGCTCTGCCCTGGAGGGTCGTATTGCAACGTGTCCGGGGCGACCGCCCCCAGTGGTTTCTGTGCTGCGGGGTATTTCTGCTATCAAAGCAACGTGTCTCCTCAGCCGACAAGCACCAGTGTGACAGCCTCTGGCGTGGCTGTCGGCGGAGATATTTGCCCCACGGCGCACTACTGCCCCTCGGGCTCGAGCATGCCAATACCCTGTGCCCAAGGCACATATGCCATCACCCCAGGCATGTCCGCCTGCGCGACTTGCCCTGCAGGTACATGCAGACATTGCACCTCCTTCAACCTGACAAGGAATGAACAGGATATTATTGCCCCACTGGTATCGACGCCTTCCACTCGTACATATGCCCTGCTGGGTACTATTGTCCAGCAGGCACAACTCGCGCCGACCAATTTCCATGTCCCCAAGGGTCGTTCAGCAACCAAACTGGGTTGACCAGTGTCGGGCAGTGCACATTGGCACCTGGCGGGACGTTTGTGAACATCGTGGCGGCAACCGCTCCGACTGGAAACTGCTCGAGCGGGTACTATTGCATTGGCGGCGCCTTGAACGCAACCCCAACAAATGGCCCTCTCGGCGGCCTCTGTCCGTTGGGAGCGAGTTGTCCGTCTGGGTCGTCGCTCCCGACGCCTTGTAAACCAGGTTTCTACTGCCCAGACATTTCCACGACATTGCCGTGCAAAGCAGGCTTTTACTGCATACAGGTACACACGACGAACGGTGCGATTTCGAGCGTGACAAGTGTTGACCAGGGCTCGTACACGGACACCCCGACCGGACAAACGAATTCGTTTGGCGTGATCGGGAATGAGTGCCCTTTGGGAAGTTACTGCCCAGAGGGATCTAGCAACCCCACGCCGTGTCCTGCGGGTACCTATGGGAAATCGAAGCAACTCAAGGATGTCTCTGGCTGCACGAGCTGCGACCCAGGATTTATGTGTCCGACAACCGGCCTCACAAGTGCAATAGTCCCATGTACAGCCGGCTCGTACTGTCCTGGTGGCCAGAAAAGTGCCTCGGAGCACTTCTGTCCTCTTGGCTCCTCTTGTCCGCAAGGGTCCATCGCGCCGCAACCATGCGCCGCGGGCAAGTATGCTGACCAAACTGGACAGGTTTCGTGCCAGACGTGCCCTGCGGGGTTTTTCTGCGTCAGCGGCTGCATCACGCCTGAGTCATGTCCCCAAGGGTACTATTGCCCCAGCGGCACTCAAAATGGGACAAGTCTTCGCTGTCTTCCAGGCACCTATGGTGAATTCATCCAACTTCAGTCCGCGACAAACTGCACCAACTGTCCACCGGGCAAGTTCTGTTCTGGCCTTGGCAATACTGGTACCCAACCATCACGTTAGACAGTACTTTATAAAAGGATGTAGACGCTCCAACCGGGAACTGCGCGCCTTCCTACTATTGCGCAGGTCGCGCCAGTTCGCCCCAACCAAACGATAACTTCACCACGGGAGGCCTTTGTTCCGCTGGACATGTGCAAACCAACCATGGCACACGCGCGACTGCTGACATCTTTTGAGGTAGGTGTGTGTCGGGGGTGCGTCCGTTTCAGCCCCCAACGACCATGTCACTGGCTACGCATGTCCCCCGGGTGCCTTTTGCGTACAAGGGTCATCCTTCGAAGTGGGTTGCTCGCCCGGGTATTACAGTCCGTTTCCAGGGGCTTGGAGCTGCCTGGATTGCCCCATCGGCGCATACTGCCCTCAGAACACGTCCGTTCCCGTGCCTTGCCCCACTGGAGCCTTCTGCCCCATTCGGTCGAGTCTCCCCCTGCTGTGCCCAACGGGAACATACAGCAGCAACACGATGCTGGTCAACTCAAGTCAATGCAACTTATGTATTCCTGGGTCGTACTGCAACTCAACAGGACTCACACAGCCAAGCGGGCCGTGCCTCCCTGGATATATCTGCGCTGGAGGTAACATCCTTCTCCTCATTACATCAATGCGATGATGCATGTAGGCTCGCCGGTTGCAAACCCAGTCGACAAATCGTACGGGTCTCTCTGCCCCCCGGGGGCATATTGTCCACTGGGTTCAGCAACTGGAACCCACTGCCCCCTCGGGACATATCGACCAAGTCTGCAAGGGCAGGCAGAGTCCGACTGCGCTCCATGTCCTGGAGGGACTCATTGCAATAGCTCTGGCCTCGTGGCCCCCTCTGGGCTATGCAGTGCTGGGTACTATTGCTCGCTTGGAGCACTTACTCCTACTCCCGTCGATGGAGTCACGGGGAACATTTGCCCCATGGGCTTTTATTGCCCGGCAGGATCGGTCCAGCCATTGCGATGCCTAGAAGGCACATACGCAGACGCTATCGGCCAAGCCACATGCACCATTTGTCCTGCCGGGTCGTACTGCGATGGCGTCGCCACCGACAGGCACTTCATCTGTCCCGTCGGTCGTTATTGCCCCCAAGGAACGAAAGCTACGCCTCTACTGTGCCCCCCTGGAAGCTTCAGCAACGTCTCCGGGTTGGTAAATAGCAGTCAGTGCATGCCTTGTACGCCGGGACAGTTTTGTTCCTCGGCTGGCCTCTCTGCCCCCACTGGGCCATGTCAAGCTGGCTTCAAGTGCCAAGCAAGTTGTGTCAATCCATTCGGACAATTTTCAAACCTCGCCACGACCAACTCGACGCTGTCTGTCAACGTATCGGAATGTCCAGAGGGCAATTATTGCCCAGAGGGGACGTTCCTGCCGACTCCGTGTCCTTTTGGAACATATCTTCCACGAACGAAAGGCGAGTCCCTGGCTGACTGCTTGTTGTGCCCTCCGCGGCATTACTGCAACTTGTCGGCGGCGCGCTCTCCTGCTGGCCTGTGCGACCCAGGTTACTACTGCGTCCTGAACAACATCCTCGCCCAGCCAACAGGACTGCAAACACTCGTCAATGGAACAGCAGCAGGCGGAACGATATGCCCGACAGGACATTTCTGCCCACGTGGGTCGAGTACACCACAATCGTGCCCTGAAGGAACGTATGGTCCTTCCGAAGGGCTCGACATTTGCCTCACGTGCCCTGCTGGTACGTGTTGAGGCAATTGCAGCCTGACTACATTCGTGGTAGGGTACTTCTGTCCTGCGGGAATCGATTCGTACATGAGTTTCACCTGCCGCCCTGGTTACTACTGTCCCCCTGGAACTCCTCGCAGCGATACGTATCCTTGTCCTCGGGGAACCTTCAGCGCTCAATCGGGCCTGCAGAATGTGACGCAGTGCACGTTGGCACCTGGAGGGATGTACGTCAGCACTATCGCCGCCACTGCCCCCACAGGCAACTGCTCGACGGGGTACTACTGCCTCAAAGGTGCCATCTCGGCAACACCAGACGACTCTGTCGAAATGTTTGCTGGGCATTGCCCGTTCGGCACATTCTGCCCTGAATCGACATCCTTGCCAACTCCATGCGAAGCTGGCAAGTACTGTTCGTCGTCCAACCTGCAGGCGGCGTCCCCATGCTCCCCTGGTTTCTATTGTGTACAAGTACGTATCACATATCACAAGGCGAGAACTGACCCGGCGATCCAGGGATCGTACACAGGCACACCAACAGGGCAACTGAACGCCAAGGGCAAAATAGGTGACGAGTGCCCGCCCGGTAGCTACTGTCCTGCGGGAACGAGCAACCCGATCCCATGTCCGACTGGCACTTACTCCAACACGAAACAATTGACCAATGCTTCGCAATGTACGCCGTGCGCGGCGGGCTTTGTGTGTCCAGGTACAGGCATCGTCGTCCCGACCGAGCCGTGCCCTGCATCCAAGTACTGTCCTGGAGCAAACGTCCAAGTGGATTGTACGGTTGGACACTATTGTCCGGCCGGGACGTCCATCCCAATCCCGTGCCCGGGTGGGACATTCTCCAGCACCACGGGACTCGCCGAGTGCTTGCCTTGTCCGCGTCGGTACTATTGCGAAATCGGCACGGCGAACCCACTTCCGTGCCCCGCCGGTCATTATTGCCTCCAGAATACCTCCTCGCCCACTCAATACCCGTGTTTACCCGGGACGTACAGCAACGATACTTCTCTTGGTGATTCAAACGAGTGCCGCTCGTGTCCTCCTGGGCTCTATTGCTCGGGCCAAGATCCAACCAGTACGTAGCATGCGCTTTCAACTCGTGGTTTTAATTTTGCATTAGGTGTGCCGACTGGGCCATGCGCGAGAGGCTACTACTGCAGCTCCCGAGCAGCAACATCAACTCCAGACGACAATTTTGCTACAGGTGGCGTTTGTAAAGACGGCTATGTAAGTGGACAGCTCGTGACGGTCATTTGTCTCACCAACTGCGATCGTAGGTTTGTTTGGGAGGCGCGAGTATTGACGACCCTGTGGATGGAACCACTGGCCGTCTGTGCGCACCTGGCTCATTCTGCATCAACGGCACAGAGCAAGCTTGCCCCATTCACACTTACACAGCCATCGCTGGCCAAACGGCTTGCTCCCCTTGTCCGTTGGGCCGATTTTGCCCTGGAAACACATCGCTGCCGTCGCCATGTCCACCGCGCTTCTATTGTCCAGTTGGGCCGGCTCGGTTGTGTCCCAACGGGACCTACGGCGCTCAGGTTTGTCCTAACGTGAGATGTTGGGACGAATCGCTAACTTGGCAGGAATGCGCTAGATGGGATTGGAGAGCCCCGATCAATGCTCGCCATGTCCAGCAGGTCAATATTGCACGAATGGCAATGTCACGGGGCCATGCATCAGTGGTTACTTTTGCAAATACGGCAACGCGCTGCCAAACCCCATGTCGTTCAACCAGTCCCTCGTCCCGTGGCAGCAAAGTTCTGGCGGGGCGTGCCCGTACGGACATTATTGTCCAGGTACTTTGCAAGGCAGTTGTTCATGTGGATTTGACAACAATATGACAGAGGGGACGTCGGACCCCCTTCCGTGCCCATCGAACTCGTCTCGCATGCTGTCCTTTGGCGCGGTTCCGTATGACTGCGGAGCGTGTCCGGCCGGCAAGAGTTGTCTTGACGGTGTTGTGACAGTCGAGTGTCCGGTGCGTCCCCATCGGGCCGATTGAAACAACGGTCTAACTAGTGTATGGTCGGTAGCCGGGTCGGTACTGTCCGTATGCCGAGTTGCCCATTCCGTGTCCAACTGGGACTTTCAATCCATCGTTCGGAGCCAAAAGCATCGAATCGTGTCTGAGCTGCCGCGCAGGCAAATGGTGCAACCGAACGGGAGTCGTCGACGACAGCATTTACGATTGCCCGCCGGGACACTATTGTACGCGAGGAACGCCCGATGCGGTTCCATGTCCCGCTGGCACGTACTTGCCAACCGCAGGAGGCGCGAAACTGGTCGATTGCAACACGTGTCCGGGGGGATCATATTGTATTGTGGCATCGTTGTCGCCACTCGTTTGTGATGCTGGCACGTATTGCCCCCGCGGAGCAGGCGAGCCCACGGTCTGTCCTGGAGGGTACTTTTGCCCGTCCAATTCCACAAAAGGACTGGCATGTCCACCGGGCTACTATTGTCCCGTCGGGTCGTCGGTACCAATCCAGTGTGGTTTTGGCACGTACTGTCCTGGATATTCAAGCAGCCCGACCCCATGTCCGTTGGGATCGCTCTCGATTCAAAAACCCGAGGGAGGCAACTACTCTTCACTGCACGAAGTGAGTTTCGTCAACAGTGTCGTTGAAATTGACTCGAGACGTAGGCGTGTCGTCTATGCCCGCGCGGAACATACGGAGATGGATCGACTTGCACGATTTGCCCCGCAGGATTTGTTTGCCTCGAAGGCGCAACGTCTCCGTCGCCCCAGAGCGTCACAACTGACCACGGGTACCCTTGCCCTGCGGTAAGGCGCTCCCCCATGCAACAATCGCCCAAGCACTGTTGAACAAACTTGGATTTGCAGGGCTACTACTGCACGAACGGAACGTACTTGGAAGCCGCGTGCCCGGTCGGCACATTCAATCCGAGCATGGGTGGCACAAGCCTGGCGTCGTGCCAAACGTGCCCTGCAAACACATATCAATACTCCAGAGGACAGGCCACGTGCTATCCGTGCTCCAAGAGGTTTGTACCGGATGATGCAGTGGCGGCATTCACCATCAACACAGTGCATCGTCGCCTGTGGGCTCGACGCAATGCAACTGCGTGGGCAATCACCGCGCGTTTCAGCTCTCGGACGGGTTTTGCATTTGCGAGCCTGGTTACGAGTATTATGATGCGAACGGGTTGCTGCGATCGGATCAAGACGACACAGTAAGCCACGGATGCCATATTCAAAGACGTTATTGATGGCCAGGTGGACTGCCAACCGATGGTGTACTCCCGATGTGGATCTGGCCAAGTGCGAACGCTGGGAGGAGCCTGCCAAGACGCGTCGCTGATTTCGTGCAATTCATCTTGCAATGGCGGTACAGGCGAGTTCCTACCGACGTCGGGGGTGTGTCAATGCACTAATGTCCCGGACTTGGACACGATTTGCAATGCCGCGTGCCGGGCATCATCCACTCAACTACGTTTCAATTCTCAAACGAACACATTGGAGTCGTTTAACCCAGTTACTGGCGTGTCGACGCCAGTGCCGGCGACGGACCAGGCCAACATCTTTGGTACGATGCATGCATTGCAAGAGTGGCTTCACGCACACACACCTAGGAACGCTGTCATGCGTGGCCAATGGCACATCCAGCTGCAATGTCGTGAGTATTGAAACCTCCGGCAGTTCATTTTCTGGAACGTACGATGCAACCCTTCCAGCTGCAGTCAATTCCAAGAGGCGCCGGCTGGCCGAAGCGAAATCTGGCATCGTGAACCCCATGCTGTGTCTTCAAAAAGGCGACTCGATCATGTTTTCCGTGTCCAACCAGAGCTACCCCGTGTATGCCAAGGATTCGCTCATGAACACGAACCCGCAATTTGACTACGGTGCATTTCGAACGCTTGACGAAAAGATGAAGGCCAACACGGTGGCGATCGCAGCGTTTGCGTTTTCGTTTGTCCAGAGCGGAATCTATGTCTTTGTCCTGAGTAATAACCCTGACGCGCTGACCATAGTGACCGTCATGGAGACGGTATGTACGCACAGGACTATTCCGTGATGTGCTGACGACATGTGCTTGGGTAGGGTGTCAAATGCCCGACCGATGGACCTATTGTGCCTCTGACGCAAGCCAACCTCATCAAGCTGAACGCAAAACCCAGGTTTGACAGATCTACTGTGTCATCGTCTTCGTTTGACGAGATGCACGTAGCAACGACATCATCTTGGCGCCGGACTGGGGGTTGATTGCCGGGTTGCTTGCTGCATTGTTTGGGGTTGTGGCTGGTTTGATCTTTGGTTTGTACTACTTTCGGCGAAAGAGTTGGGTTGGAAAGCAAGCAAGTGTTGGCGGCTACAAGGAAAAGGCCCGTGGGTTCAACTTGTCCAACCTAACATCGAAAGGGTCTATCGTGAAGAAGAATGCAAAGCCAGTCACGGACATTGTGCCGTCGGATGACTTGGAAGCAAAAGCCAAGACACCTGGCGAGTACCAACCCGAGCTCAATCGATGGGACGGCGACGATTTGGGAATTCGTGAGCTTGTCGATCGTCTTCAGTTCCACCACGACAGCGTCGAAAAATCGTTCCACGACCAAGAGGCAGGAGCCGTTAAAATGATGAAGTTGCTGCAAGTACGTGCAATTACAATACATCAGGAAACTCAACCATCGACTAGAACGAAGCCGACGAACTCAAGCGGTTGCTGGCATCGATTGTGGTTGCGCAGTCCAGCGAGAAGGATGCTGAAGGCTGCGACGCAGAACTCGTCTTGGTCGAATCCCTCGAAAGAAGCGCCGCTGCCAGAGCCGAATTCGAAGCGCAGCAATGTACTGCCGAGGGCGCCCTCCTTGTATCTGCAAACTGTTTGGCAGCCACGGTTCAAGACAAAGGCATTGTCTCGACCATCATTGATGAAATGGTGAAAGGAAACGGATCTTCCCCACTGTTGCAAGCAATCACGACTGAATTGCACACACTTACTCAAGCAATCACTTCCACGACGGAGCCAACAATGGGAGTATGGCCAATTCTCCAGAGCGAACAAAATCGCCGAAAAGTGGATGCTGCTGTGTGGAATGCATTTGGCAAGACGACTCGCGACTTGCTCTCGCCGGAATTGCTGCAATTAAAGCAAAGCTGCAATCGCCACGCCAGTGAATGCGATGAACGGGCCGCGGAAGTGTGCGAGAGTTTGCTCAAATTTAGCAATGTCGCTCCGTCATACATGAAGAAGCTCGAGGCGTTCCAGGAAGCATGTGCCCTTGAGATTAAAGAAGCCTTGGAGCAGCAAAATCCGGCCTTGATCAAGCCGCTCAAGCAAAAACAAGAGAAGGGTCTCCAAACACTGTTGAAGGAACTACAAGTCGGTGCATCAAAACTTGTGGCGAAAATTGAAGCAGATCAGAAGCAACTCAATGCACTTCGAACAAAATTTACACCGGACGCGATCATCATGCAGCGCGCGCTCGCTGACCTCAAGAACGACTTGACGCTGGCTAAAGCAGCGACAAATCCCGCCAATGATGTCGCCGAGTTGGTCGCTCAATTGAGAACGCTGCTGTCGAATCCAGGCCAGTTTCAACTCATGGCTCCAGCGGTTGCCCCCACTCTCAATTTGGACGCAATGTTTGCTGAAACGGAAACAATGGCGGAGGTAAACGTACTTCGTGCTCTGGGTCATTCTAAGCATGAGTTCTAGCCAATCTTTGAGGAAGATGGCGGCGACATGGCAGAGCTGCAGCAACTCATGGACGACGAAGTTGAAGGCGATGCCATCCAAGACGAGTTGAAGGCGGCCAACATGCGAAACGAGTTCATTTCTGAATTGAACGCGAACACGAGCTTGACAGAAGAGGATCGACAGATACTGTTGGATGAGTTCAACGAAGACATGGCACAATTGGAGGCGTCCCTGTGCCTGGAGCGCCACAAACAAGAAGAGCACTTGCGCAATCGGTTGGCAATTCGAAAGCTGAAAAAGCACACGGAGAGTAACCTACTGTTGGAAGACCAAGCGCTGAAAGCCGCGATGCGAGAGAAGCAGGAACTGGAACTGAAAGAGCTCGAGCGCACGTTTGCCGAGGAACAGGCCAAGATCGAACAAGAGTTTCAAACAAAGTTGGACAGCGTGAAACAAAAGTCGTCGCAGTTGCTTGTTCGAGGCAACACTCAAAAACGAATCAACGATGTCGACGACGAAAGCGTGTCAAAAGCAATCCGAAATGAGGTAGGGTGCACGACTCTCACGTGGAGAATGCGTGACGATGACTCGAATCGCTGTAGTTCAATGCCAAGTGGAACGAACGGCAACGACTGCTCGAAGACGAGAAGGCACGTGCCAAGGCAAAACTCAATGCTCGAAAGAAAGCAAGGTCAGCGGCGAAGGGGGATGCCACGCCAGCAGCGGACGGCACAGCTGCACTATTTGCAGCTATGAACGACATTGAATCCAATCAGATGACGCGCGCAATCACAACGAAGCACGACATACTGCAATATGAACGATTAGCCGATGCGATCCAATCGAACTGTGCAAGTCCAGCGGATGTTGCTCAATTGCAAACGGTACCGTGGTCCCTCTATAAACTCACGCGCAGAAGTTAATGCTTTCGCCGCAGGTGCTGGCATCCAATTCGACCAAATGGAGCGAGCGCGTGCACGATGTGGTTGCCGATGAACTTCAGTGGTCACATCAGTGGAGTCAAGTCAAGCCGGACAAATTGACACCGGAGCTCCTTCACATAAATACAAAGATGAAAATGCTCTTTGAAACAGAACGTGAGCAACTCGAACGTTGCCAAGTCCAAGAGAAGGCTCAACTTGGAACACTCTCCACTGACGATGAAGACGTGTTGAACCAGGTACGATTTCGTATCACAGCTGACGTGTTGAGCTTCATTTTCCCCGTAGATGCATAATGAATTCAAGGCAAAATGGGATGCTCGAAATATGGCGTTGCTGGACGAAGAGCAGCTCCAACGACAAAAGCTTCTCGATCGAAAATCCAAGCGAAAACGTCAAGCAGGAGCTGCTTTACCAGAGGATGTCCAGGAATCCGAGTTGCTGCTCGCCATGGTGGAAGAGCGCCAGAGTTTGGACGAGATTGGCAAGATTATCAAGGCGACTGCAATTAAATCCTTGGGTGACGCCAACAACGACGACACTATTGCACAGGTTGAGAAACACAAGAGTCCTAGGACAGAGTGTTGAGATATAATTGGTAGATCCAAGACAAGTTTGCCCAGGAGTGGGCACGTCAGAAGGAAATGCTACTTGCGGAAGCAAACGTCAAGCGTGTCCAGCTCCAGGAACGCCTGAAGAGGAGAAAAGATACGATGCATCCTGACGACGAGGACGCTACCCTAATGTTGGAACAACTCGAGACAAAGCAGGCCGCACTGGACATTGAAATCGATGCGGACGCTGTCAACACTGGAATCTTGGCCGACAAAGTCATGCTTGAAGCCCTGACGACGCAAGATCAGGATGTCATCAATGACGTAAGAGCGGATTGCTTGCACATTGTGCGTTCCTTAAAATATCTCTAGATTTTGAATTCCCACGACAAAAAATGGAGTGAGCGGCAAAAGGCACTGGAAGACGATGCAGCGTTGGCGCGAGCAAGTTTGGCCTGTCGCCTCGACAAGAAGCGCAAGGGGTGTTTGGAGTCGGCCCTCGAATCCATGCTGCAGATCAAGGCAGAAGCTCTGAAAGCTGCCAAATTGGTTGAGAAAGCTCAACTTGGCACAATCTCTGCCCACGAAATGCAGCAGATTGAACAGGTACACAAGTCTAGAGTGAAGTGTTCGAAGTCATCATTGGCTGACATAGTTAACGGCTGAGCACGATGCAAAATGGGCTGCGCGACACAAAGAACTGGACGCCAACGAAGAAAAATGGACTGCGCAACTCACTGCTGGTGCAACGTCCAAAGAAGAGCTCGACGAGTTCGAAATGGACGTTCGATTGCTACGCAATGAACTCGCGATGCACGAAGCCAAGGCAAAAGCACGCATCGTTGCTTTGCAAAGAGTGGACATTGACCGGGACGATGCAGCAATTATTCAAAGGGTACTCATCGTAATGCTTGAATGGAGTGGCTAATCTTCGCCTAGCTGCACGACGACTTGAAAAAGAGTATGGACAATGCGAAAGCGGAGATCGATGATGAAGAGGCGCGGCTCCGAGGCCGGCTCCGCGATCGACTGGCACGAATTGCCAAGTCCAAAGATGATGCAGCAATGGTAGAAAAGCAGGTGGAAGCCGAAGCGGCTGCCAAGAAGACCCACGACGAGCTTTCCATTTTGGTGGCAAAGGCGGAAAGCAACCCACTGACCTCCGATGACGACGAAACGATTCGCAAGGTGGATGCCATCGATTATACTTGTGTATGAACTTGTTCAATAGCTACGGGAAGCGCACGAACGTGATGCAAAGGCTCGCAATCAACAACTGCTAGACGAAGAGCAGCGTTTGAAAAGTAACCTGCAGGATCGCCTCAAGGCAAAGCGTGATGCGTTGGCAAAGCAACAGTTCGATACGCCAGCTGCCAGAGCACAGGCGCTTGCCCAAGTGAACGACGAAGAGAGGCTTCAGCTGGAGCAAGTGGAGCATCACATGGATGCCAAACGTGAGCAGCAAGCGCTGCAAGAGCTGCAGACGGAAGCGCAATTCATTCAGCTGCAGTCGCCCAACAACGATGACGAAGCCATCGCTAAGGTACAGCAGTTTTGCATGGTGCCATCATTATTAAATGCAGAGGAATTTTCTAGTTGCGAGCTGAGCACGATGCAAAGTGGAATGAAAAGTTGGCAGAGCTGGAAGATGAAGCAAAACGGCGGCGCCAGAGATTGCATGATCGATTAGCAGCAAAGCGAAAGCATGTTGAAGCGTTGCCGCTGCTGGACAAACAAGAAGCTGAGAAGGAGCTCAAGTTAGAAGAAGCAAGAGGGTCGACAGAAATTGAGCAATTCGTCGAAGTGACCAAGGAACGATTGGGATTGGAACAGATTACTGAAAAAGCTAAGCTCAATCTTTTGACACCTGATGACGAAGCCTTGATAAAAGAGGTGGGATTAGTTAAATCCAGAAGTGTCGTGGGCCTAACCGATCGATTTAGATTCAAAGTCACCACCAAAAGAAGTGGCGCGCCAGGCAACAGGAGGTCAACGACGATGAAACCCGTCGGAAAGCAGCATTGCGAGCACGTTTGACAGCGAAGCGCGATGCAAACCGTCGCACCACGAAGCCAACCGACGAAAAAGAAGTGTGCGCGATGCAACTCGATGCCCAGGAAAATGTCGACATGCAGCAAATCGAGGAAATGGCCGACTTGAAGCGACACGTGCTTGCCGAAGAAGCAAAGGTTGAGGCCCAGCTCCTCACGCAACTCAACACCCCTCCAAACTACGATGACGACATCGACAGGGTACGCATCCAAGTTTGGGTTGTTTCAACCGGTTTTTAACATCTGTGTGGTGCAGTTGCAAGCTGATTACGCCAAACGATCGAAAGAACGAGAGGCATGGTTGAAGGCCGAAGAGGCTCGCATGCGACAGCATTTCAAGATCCGGCTTGCCAAACGATTGAAACTTGGCGATCCTGCTACGCCCGACGAAGTGGAAGCGATGGAACAAGCGGTCGAGCGAGAAATCTCTGACATGCGATGCCAAGCAGAGGTGGAAGCGCTGTCGGAGAAGCAGCGGCTTAACATCTTGTCCTACGACGACGAGGATTTATTGCAAAAGGTTAGTGCCTCTCTTGGATGTTGACGCTCAACTTGTTTACAAAATGAACCAGCTTCAAGCCCAACACGACGCCAAGTGGGCCGACCGGATGCGAGAGCTTGAGGACGAAGCGGCACGACGAAAGCTGCAATTGAAAGATAGATTGATGAAAAAGCGAAGCAAGAACAAAGCCAGCGACTTGTCTCCAGCAGAAAGGGATGTGATTGACCGTCAATTGGACGTGGAAGAGAACGTTTTGTCCAAAGCAGCAGATGATCACCTCGTAATGGCAAAACAGCGCGCCATGGTGGCGAAACTGCTGGAAAAGAAGCTCATTGGAGTATTCACTCCAGACGACGAAGAGTTAATTCGACAGGTATTGTACAAGTAATCGATTTCTGATGGACTCATCTCGCTTCTTAGATCCAAGACAACCATCAAAAGTTGTGGGGCGAGAGGAAAAAGGCACTCGAGGACGAAGCTGCGCGCCGCAAGAATGACGTCCGCGATCGGTTGGCAGCTCGAAAACTAGCCAAAACCATGTCTTCCCCCGAGGAAATTGCAGCCCTCGAATCTGTGGTGGCATTGCAAGAAGCTGCAGAAACCTTGCAAGTAGATACAAATCTGAGCGACGAACTACAAGAGTTGAGTGAGAAACGTACCAAAGAAGCGTCCCAACTTGACAAACTGGACGCTCCCCCCAACTACGACGACGACATTTCCCGGGTAGGACATTCCGACATTGTTCGAATCGACTTCAATCTTGTCTAGCTTCAGGCCGAACACGAGCGCATGAGCAGGGAGCGTCGGCGATTGCTCGAAGATGAAGAAGCGAGGCTGCGTAGTCGACTCAAGGATCGCTTGTCGAAGCGACGAAAGCTCGGCGAAACAATCACCGGCGAAGAAATGCGCGACCTGGAGGTGGCCATGACAGCCGAAATTCAAGCCAATCGTGCCACGCTGGAAATTGAAATTCTAGCTGACAAGGCCAAGAAGAATCTCTTGACGTCGGACGACGAAGAGATGATTCGCAAGGTAGACATGTCTTCATCCAATGAATGATACAACTCACGCGGGCACGATGTAGCTCCGAGAAGAGCACGACAGCAAGTGGAGAGCAAAGGTGGCTGAGTTGGAAGATGAAGCGAAGCGCCGGAAGCAGCATCTGCAGGACAGGCTCTCCAAGAAACGTGCAATGCTGGAGGGAATGTCTGGGCCAGAGAAGCACGTAGCTGCGGCAGTATTCGTTGCTGAAGAAGGTGACGCTCTCGCCGAGCTCGCCGGCGACCTCGAGAATGCCAAGAACCAACTCATGCTGAATCAAGTGACTGAAAAGGCCAGCTTGAACATGCTCACACCAGACGACAGCGACGTGATCAAGAAGGTTTGATCTCACTCCTCAACTTTTTAGATATTTCATGGGTGAATAGATTCAACGAGACCATGATATGATGTGGCGAGATCGGCAAAAGGCGCTTGATGACGAAGAAGCGCGGAAGAGAGATGCGTTGAAAACTCGATTGGCTGCAAAACGGGAAGCCAACAGACTTAGCAGTCAATCGGCGGATAAGAAGCAAGCGGTGGACAAACAATTAGACGAAGAGGAAGCCGCTGAGATTAAATTAATCCAACAAGTCGTCGAGGAAAAGCGCCAGGATATCCAAGCAGAGGCATCAGTTCAACTCGATCGAATCAAGCAGCTACAAGCAAACTTTGACGATGACATTCAAATGGTTCGCTGTCCACCCTTGAATTTCCACTGCACTGACTGAAATGCGTTGTGTATCTCCAGTTGTTCGACGAGCACGCGCGTCGATGCAAAGAGCGCCAACGATTACTCGAGGACGACGAAGCGCGCATGCGAAATCGGCTACAAGAGCGCCTTGCCCGTCGAACGAAGCATGACGATTACGCGGTGACGCGTGAAGAGGAGGCTGTGATGCACGAGCAGCTTCAAGCAGAGATCGACACTAGGCGACAGCAAGTCGAGCTCGAAAACCTCTTGGACAAAGCTAAATTTCATGGTCTTACCTCGGACGACGAAGATACCATTCGAAAGGCAAGACTATTATTACCTTGCCTTGGCTCATAAAACTTGTTGATCGTAGATTCAAGAAGAGCACACGCGAACAAGTGCAGACAAGCGGCGCAGTTTGGATGAAGAAGAGACAATCCTCAAGCAAAAATTGGCCGATCGATTGACCAAAAAGCGCGATAGAGTCAAACAAGTGGCGACTTCGGCGGTCGCCGACCAGCTCAATTTGCTTCTCGATCGCGAAGCCGATTCGGAATTGCGGGCAATTGAGAATGCGATGGATGAAAAGCGCAAAGTGCTCGAGTCCACGGAGAGGCTGGTGAAGGGATGGACCCCGACGGCTGCACCAACCGACAATGAGAAGGAAATTGACTTGGTAACTCCAACAACGAACCCGCGGTGATTGTCGGGACTGGCGTATGACCAATACCTTGACTAGATCAACGCGGAGCTGGCCAAGCACACGAAAGACCGCCAGCGCATGCTGGATGAAGAGGAACAACTCAAGAAAACTCGGTTGCAAGAACGCATGGAAAAGAAGCGAAAACTTCGTGAGGATGCCAAACAGGCCGCTGATCGACCGTCAACTGCCGACCACGCTGTGGAAATGACGCAAGAAGTGGTAAAAATTGAGGCCGAAATGGCCGCAAAACGCCTCGAACTGGAGGCGGAAGCGGAAAAAGAACGGCAACTCCTGGCATCCGCGGTGCAACAGGCAAAAGGCAATGTCGACGCCATGGTCGAAAAAGTCAAGCAAGATCACGAAGCCAACGTAGACCAGCTGAAAAAGACCCTCGAAGCAGAGCGTGCAAAGGAGGAGCTTGCACTGAAAGAGCGCATTGCTGCCCGTCGCAAGCAAAAGGTTCTAGGGACGGTTGACGACAATGTACTGGCAGCTCAGGAGGCTGCCGAGCAAAAGGCGTTGGCAGCAAAACTAGACCAGGACGCGAAGGATGCCCTTGCAAAGGAGAAACAGCGCGCGGACTTAGGTACAACGTTGGTATGTCGTCCGGTGATAAACATCGATATCTTGGCAGAAATGGCGGCACTGCAGCGAGAAATCGCCAAGAAGGCGGAGCTACAGGCTCAACAAGCGGCCATTGAAAAAAGGATGGCCGAAGACGAATGGACAAGACTGAAGGACATTCACGAAAGTGAACTCAAGCAACTTCAAACCACCCTCGACTCGGAGCAGCAACGGCAAGAGTTGAAGCTCAAAGATCGAATTCGGATTCGCCGCGAGCAGAAGGAGCGAGAATTGGCTCAGTGTAAAGACCAAGCGGAAATTGACAAGGCGCGTGCTCTGCTCGAGGAGCAAGAAATTGCTGAAAAGGTGAAGTTGGCCGCTCAAATGGCCAAACAAGCCGAAGACGCGTTGCACGAAGAGTTGACACGGCAGGAGGAGGCAAAACGAGCGGCTGAACACAAGATCCATCAAGCGGCTATTGAAGCTGCAGCTGCGACGGCTGCCATTGACGCTTTTCGCGCGGCGGAGCTCGAACGCGTGTCCATGGAGTATTCGAACAAGATGAACCAGTTCCAGCAAGACACAGCCAACGAAGCTCTAACTCAAAAAGCCAAGCTCGAAGCACGCATGGCTGCGAAGAAGACGAAAAAGGCGATGGAACTCCAGGCAAAGAAAGAGGAAGAAAAGAAAGCGCTGCTGGAGAAACAACGCCTGGAAGCTGAGGCCCTCCAATCTCGACTAGCTGAAGCAGAGAAGCTCGCCCAACTCAACGCGATAATTGACGACCACGAAAAACGAACCCCACGGGTTGGATCGTTCGAATTGAATGCATGAGGAAGGTCGTGACGTTCTGCATATAGGTCGAAGAAACAGACGAAGGCAATGCGTTGACATCTGCCCAAGAGGCTGAGCTCAAGGCATTGGAAGTCAAGCAAGCCAATGAAATTGCTCGCTTTGATGCAGAAGCGCTGAACGAACAGGTCAACTCTGGCCGCCGCCTCGACGACGACCTTGCAAAAAAGTTGTCAGCGAGTCAAGAACAACTTCAAGTGAAGAAGGAACTAGATCGTGTCACAAACGAATTTCAGGAGAAGCTGACAGCCCACACAGACAGTCTCGAGCAAGAGAGTTCGCAAAAGAAGAAGGACCTGATGCGTCGCCTTGAAGAGAAGAAGAAGAAGAAGAAGGACGAGCTGATGGCGCAGCAGGCCAAGGAACGGGCAGACGCAGCGCAGACTCAGAAATCAGACCAAGAGAAGCTCGCCAACAAACTCGAAATGGAGCGCGAGGTCGCGATGATTCAAAAACTACTGGCCCAAAACAACATCGTCGTGTCCCAGCTCACGCCCATCATCGAGCGCGTTGTTGAGAAGCGTCACAAACGGGAGCAATCGCTGCTGTTCGCCAAGCAATACAGGTACAACCCTACAGAATGTTATGTCCCCGGCGCTAACCATTGATCCCAGAGATCGCACGGCCGTATTGCGCGACGCTTTACAAGCGTTGATGCAGCAAAAAGCCAAAGATAAGGCTGCGTTGCTCGAATCGACGGGCGACCCCACTGAGCGTGATCGACAATTGGAAGAGCTCGATGCCCTGTATCGAGTAAAGCAGCAGGATATAGAAGCTTCAGGCACCCAAGACGTCGAAGCTGCACAAACAAGGGAACAAGCGAGTTTGAAAGAGCGCCAAGTCGCGGACATTGCGTACTTGTACCAGCAATTCGTAGCCCAGTGCAAGCCAGATGTCGTCACGCCTGCCACGGTGCCTGCGACCCAGGTTGCTGTCGCTGCTGCCACCACCACAACGGTCGACGATGAGACGGCTGGTCTTCGTGGTCACTTGGAGTTGGAAAAACAAGCTCGCATCGACTCCATTGTCCAAGCTGGCGCATCTGCTATGCAGAAACTACGTGAAGATTTAGCGAGCGAGTGGAAGGAACTGGACGAGGCGTATGCTGCCCAGTTGGCCGTGGAGCGCCAAGATAGCGAGCATGGATGGCAGCGTCAAAAAGAAAAGATATTGGCTCAGTCAGTGAGTGAAAAGCGACGGACAGCGTTGATCGCAGCGTTGGAGGTCGAACGGCAGAAGCAAGAAGCGTCGCTCACGTCGATGCTGCGCGCTCGGTTCCAAAAGAAGAAGGAGCGCAAGGAACGAGTTTGCAAGCGCCGTTTGAAGCGAACAGACGACGATACAAAACGGCGAATCGAAATTATCAATGCTCAGTTCTTGGTGTCGTTGGCAGACGAGCTGGAGTCTCGCAAGCACAAGGATCAGATGGTGAAGGCCCCGTCACTGGCGCTACTGGGACTTGGGAAAGAGCGACTCCAAGGCGCCGTGAATCGCACCAAGACCCTTGTGCGACTCGGGAGTGTCGGAGGACTGGCAGACCCACATACTACCTCGACCAAGTTCTTGCCCGTCGACGAAGCGCCGGCCACGTCGTTGATGGCTACAACACTAGCGCAAGGTCATGAAAACCAACTGCAGCAACCGTCGAGCCACCCAATGGAGGTGATCGGTCAGAAGCTGGACAGTATCGAGCGCCTGATTCAACGACTTACGAGCTCCGAGCGTCCCGTTCCAATTTCGACGGGACGTGGCTCCATCAAGTCGGCGTTGTTGGCAGCCTATCCAGGCCTCGAACAAGATGCCAAGGCTGCGTCGGGACCGTTGAAAGCATTGGATGCCACCAAGATGACACCTCGACAGATCTCCCGCTTGGAATGGGGTCGAAACTTGGTCGCGACGTTGGACCCGACGTTGAAACTTGCAGTCGCAACGATTGTTCCGACGTCTCCCGGCGTGTTTGGCCACTCCATGGCGTACGATGCACAGATCCATACGCTGTATGTTCGCGAAAGCCGCCTGGAGAGCGTTCCTGAGCTTGCGCTGTTGTTGGTGCACACGGCGGCCCACATCAAGGTGCTTTGTTTACGTCATGGATGGAGCATGTATGCATTCGTTTGTAGGTCCACGAGTCGGCCTTTGACGACGACAGCGATCCAGCGTTTGTGACGGAGTTTTATCGCATGCTCGGGCGCTGCTACCAGGTACACCTTGCAACGACATGGACTTGACAAACGACCACTAGGAGTTGTTTTCGAAAACGGACGATCTTGGGCTCGTTCCGTCGGCTTCGGTCGAGTCGTTGGCCGCGTGGGGTCGATCCAAAGATGTACCTGGCGCGTCGCCAACAACGTATTTCTTGCCTGGCAACATCGAAGCACGCCTCGCCAACATGCAGGCGTTCTTGGATCAAATGCAAAATGACGTGGCAGAACGAGATGACGCATTGACTGTCCTCGACCACCAGCACTCGTCGAGCAAGTTATTGCCGTTAAGATCGATGTCCGTGCAAGCGCCGTCAAGCATTCGCAAAGAACGAACATCCCCACGGTCCTTTGCGAAAGTCGGGTCTTCCAGAGCGCTCTTCATGGCCCACGCAGAGCAGCAAGTGACGTCGCTACAGGTTGGCATCGTCTGCCATTTTTCCTTCCACCCAACCAAAAGGACATGTAGGACTGCTTGGACGTTGCAGAAAAGTCCTACATGGAAACGCTCAAGAGGTACACAGGTGCGTTTGCGCTTGCCATGCGATGATCTGATTGCCGCTGTTCTCATGGACACTACGTCGAGCAGAAGCCAGCGATGCCGTCGAACTGCTCGAAGATGCGCTGAGCGAAGCAGAAGCGGAGCACATGGAGCATGAAGTGACCCTGCTCTCGAAAAAACTGGGCGAAGCGCGGGACGATCTCGCTCGAGTCAAGGCCGATCGCGACGACGTTGCAAGGCGATGTGAAAAGCTACGAGGGGAAATTAAAGCCAAAGTTGGTGCGGTCTAAGGCGTGCCAATCCGTTTGGAAGATAGCACTGTGTAACCCGCAATACATATGCCGAATGCACATCACAGAGTTCGGTCGAAGCTTGGCAGCTTCATGTCCATGAGTGAAGCGAAAGGCTCATCTCCGCCTGCGGTGCCGCGTCGCGCCATCACAGCAAGTTCGGCATGCCCTTGGTGCCAGAAAGTCCGGATAATTTTGATGAGCATCAACCGAACAAGGGACCATCCCGCAGACGAGGGCGAGTGCAACGCTGGCGCGAACACCAAGCAAGATCGGGCTGTCCCCACGCCGCCTCTTGTTGGGCCTCCTTCTCGCTCTGAACCTCTCGGCGCTCTCTGTAATCTACATCACGCACGCATTAACCAACATGACGGCGTCAACCTCCACTGTGACCCTGCCAATTCATGTGTACTGGGCGCATGCGGTGAACTCACAAGCGTTGCTTGCCGCCGCGTTGGACAAGAGCCAGGCCATCGAAGCCGACGTCTTGCTCAACTCGGGAAACGAACCAGTGATGGCCCACCCCCCGGCCACGGACAGCAACCTGACTCTGCGTGCCTTTCTTGCCCAGGTCGAGTCTGGCACGGGCATCGTCAAGCTGGATTTCAAATCCGACGCTGCGTTCGGCCGGGCACTGCCGCTACTCCGTGAAGTAAGCTTGTCGCTCAAGGCCCGCCTCTGGATCAACGCCGACATTGTACAAGGCAGCAATGCGGCCGAGCCCCAGTTCGTGGCTGCCGAGTTCGTCGCCAACTCGATTCGACTTGGTGCAGGAAAACTTAGTCTGGGATGGACAACATCCAGCAACAGCACCGAGTACACCCCGGAGATGGTTCGCGCAATGCTTCAACTACTCTCCGACTACGATTCGTCCGTCGCCGTGACATTTCCTGTCAAGGCCAGCTTGGTTCGGGGGAGCTGGGACGCCCTCAAGGCACTCTACCAAAACCCAAAGCATGGCATGACTCTCTGGCTCAACGAAGCCATGGACGACGCGGACTTAGTTTGGCTTTACCAAACGCTCGAGACGCCCGCCTTGCAAGGACGAACGTATTACGACCTACACGGGTGGAATGCTCTCGTCCAGCGTAAAGGGTGGTGAACAGCGCGCCTCACTTGATGTCAAGCCAAGTGAATCGAATGCATCCCAGCGCAAGTGCGCGATGTAAGCGAATACACATACATATCCTCTCTTGTCCAATGTCGTCATGGCTGACAGCACCGCATCCGTCCAGGCAACGCAGCGATCCCGTCACCAGCGAGCCAACTCTGCTGTGGAATGCAGCGTTGAACGTTTTCTTCATGGATGACTGAATATACATACAAATATTTCAAAGTACATTTTGAAATTCTTTTTCTCTTGCATGAAAATGACTCCAATAAATGAGAATATGCATCCTTCACGGAAAAATGAATCTCTACATAAATCGAGACATAGTATTCTGATTGAATGAGAAATTCAGGTTGTTCCAATACATGTAGATTCATCTATTTGTCTCACGAATCGACCCAAATTAGGATAAATCCCATTTTGATGTTTATATTGAAGATGTTTCGGACATTGCGTCTTGCGGTCCTGAGCGGCCAGTGAACGGAAGAAACGAGGAAACCCAACGACCATGCGGATCTTGATCAAGGGTGGGGTGTGGAAGAACACAGAGGATGAGATCCTCAAGGCTGCCGTCATGAAGTACGGCAAGAACCAGTGGGCACGTGTCGCTTCCCTCCTCGCGCGCAAGTCGGCCAAGCAATGCAAGGCGCGTTGGTACGAGTGGTTGGACCCGAGTATCAAGAAGACCGAATGGAGCCGCGAAGAAGAGGAGAAGCTTCTGCACCTGGCCAAGTTGATGCCATCTCAATGGCGGACGATTGCTCCGATTGTCGGCCGCACGGCCGCCCAATGCATGGAACACTACGAGAAGTTACTTGACCAAGCTCAAAAAGGCGCGGACGGCGACGACACTGCGACCGATGATCCTCGCCGTCTACGACCAGGCGAGATCGACCCAAACCCAGAAAACAAACCCGCGCGCCCTGATCCCGTCGACATGGATGAAGATGAGAAAGAAATGCTGTCCGAAGCCCGGGCTCGTCTTGCCAACACAAAGGGCAAGAAGGCCAAGCGAAAGGCCCGTGAAAAGCAGCTTCAAGAGGCCAAGCGACTGGCTAGTCTTCAAAAGCGTCGCGAACTCAAAGCTGCAGGCATCACCCCTGACAAATCCAAGCAACTGGGGAATCTCCGTAAGAAGCGCAAGTTTATCGACTACGTCAAAGAGATTCCGTTCGAGAAAAAGGTGCCAGCGGGGTTCTACGATACAAGCGCGGAGCGAAGCAGTGCCGTTGCGTTGGACCCGAAGCAGACCGCGCTGTACCTAAACCAGCTTGAAGGCGTCCATCGCGACGCGGAGGAAAAGCGGGCGCGCCGCGAGGATGCAAAACGTCAGAAGAAGCTGCTGTCGTCAGCATTACCACAACAAATTGCAGCAATTAACAAGCTGAATGACCCGAGCTCGTTCATCAAGCGGAAAGCACTCGACTTACCAGCTCCCATGGTGACAAACGACGAATTGGGGCTGCTGGCGAAGCAAGGCGCTTCCGACGTTGCGCAGGCCCAAATGCTTGCGCTGGAGCATTCAACATCTCAGCAGTCGACTGCCCTCGTGACCGTGTACAATCCGTTGGCCACGCCCGGTGGACCAGCCGCAACCCCCGCGCATGCCGGCCAGGCTTCGCAAACTCCCCAAATGTCTGTCCGGGAGACCATCATGCAGGAAGCGGCAAACCTTGCGGCCATGACGCGAGCGGCGACCCCCCTTCTAGGTGGGGATAATGTGGACTTGCAGCAAGGAACAGGATATGGAGGGATTACTCCAAGCCGCACCCCAGGGCCGTCGTCCGTCCTCCGCACGCCCAGCTCGTCATTGCGGACACCCATGCGGGACATGCTTGGCATAAATCCTGACGTTGGTGACGAGATCACGGACATGTCGAAGCGCGCGGAGAAAGCACGCCATCGAGCAAAGACCGCAGCATTGCAAAGTGGATTTGCGTCGTTGCCGGAGGCTCAGCTAGAGTACGAAATCAGCTTGCCAGCCGTGGACGCACCGACAGCTGACGAAGATTCCGGTCGTGTGGAGGACGCAGGGGAGCGTGATGCACGGTTGGCGCGCGAAGCGGCTGCCGAAGCCGACAAAGCTCTCCTGCGCCGATCAACAGTGTTTCAAAAGCAGCTCCCCAAACCAACCTCTACAACGTCGTTAGTCTTGAATGACGACCCTGCTATCCAAGACGAATTGGCAGCGCTCTTGGCGGCTGATGTCGGCGACGGCTCGAAGAAAAAACGCAAGCGAGGCCAAGCAAATGCGCCGTCGTCCGACGTTTTCACAAACGACGAGCTGCAGTTGGCACGCAACCTCGTGGCGCTGGACGCAAAGTTGCACGGCGCCGGTGTCCTGGACGTGAACTCGACGTGGCAAGCAGCACAGAAAAATATCAAAGAGCTTGCACCTGGCCAATTGGTCCATTGGGACGACATCTCAGTCGATCTGCGCATCCAACTCCTGAGCAAGGAATTTGCTGCGCTCAAGGAAGTGGAGGCGAAGTTGGTAAAGAAGGCAGACAAACTCGAACAAAAGGCGGGCCTTTTGCATGGCGGATACGAAAACGTGTGTGCTGGATATGGTACGTCGCTGGAGACGACGCATCAAGCATGGCTCGTCAAGTCGCGCGAACTGCATGCGTTTAATCAACTGCGACTCGTCGAGCAATTGGCGCTGCCTCGGCGATTGGAATCGCTCGGTCGAGAAGTGGATCTACTGCAGCTGCGCGAAGTCGAGTTGCAAAAGCGATATGCGGCGTTGCTGGAGGAGACCGACGCTATCGCTGCCGAATCCTAGCGGCCTTTTTGTCGCCACGAGCTACGGCTTGTCCGACGTCGCTTTGGTCGAGCTAAGAAATTTTCCGCCTCATTTTGAACTCTACCAATTGTTGTCTGTGTCTTTGTTTAGCTTGCAATCGTCGCCTAGTGTGGGGCGACTGGCTTTGCTGTCGACGGACGTTGGAGGAGCTCGACTGCGTTCGGCACGCCATCGAGAGACGGGCACAGTATCATAGCACTCTCGGGACGTGGCAGACGGTGAGCAGACGTGTACCAGAGCTTGGGCGCAAGACAATGAAACACGCGGGAGTCGCCAAATGGCCACACACCGACGTGATCCAGGCTCCAGAGACGATACCATGCCAATTGGACAGAGCACAGGCCAGTGGAGGGTGCGTCAAGCGGTGGGGGTGAAGCTAACAAGTGGAGTTCGAGGGGCGGGAGTTGATCCATCAACGGGCGGTTGTCGTGCCCATCGAAGAGCCACAAGCCCGACACCACAACGGAGCGAACAATGGGCGTGCCATCGACGTCATCGAAAAGAACGCCAGATTTGTCCGTCGAAGCCACTCGAGGCGGCTGGGTCGTGTGCACCAGTTCCAGATGCATCTGGTTGACGGTGCACTTCAGCGCGCTAGCGTTATGAAGGTTGAGCGCAGTGAGGAAGCGGTCGGGGCGGTGGAGGCAACCCAAAGGGATCACGGAGGGCAGGCGATCTTTGAGCGCGCCAAAGAAATCACTCGTTCGGGACATGTGTGTCGCGAGCGAAGCCAGTGGAAGCGGTGCCGCCGCCTCAGGAAGTCCCACCCAATGTGGAGGAAGATGGTACAAGTGCAAAAGCTTGGTCTCCTCCATCAACGCTCCAGAATGGTCGAGTCGATCCAAGCAGTGCAGCCACAAATCATTCCATTGAGCGAGATCGTCCAGGAGCAGCCCGTGGACAACACTCGACTCGTTGGTGACGGCGTGAAGCTTCTTGATAGCCCGTCGAAACTTTAATGCTGCCACCGTCACGAGCATGGTCCCCGACGCAGTCACGTCATTGTCATCGGTGTCCTGGTCGGCGTGTCCGATGCTGGGTCCAGTGTGAGCGAAATGCAAATGAAGAAACTCCCGGAAGATGCGGCGGCAGACTGCGACGGCATGTTCGTGGGGAGTGTCAACTTGGACATGGCGGAGGCCCTGGCACAATCGAAGGACAGCAGCCGATTCGGTCTGCGCGACCACGTTGCGCACGAACGTTGCCATCCTGGGGGCAACTCCAACCCCCAACGCGTTGTCGGTACATGAATCCCTGCCTCCAATTTCGTCACCGGGATGATCGATCGAGCCCCGGCGATGGTCGGAATTCGACGCGGCGACCCACTTGGCGACAAATTGACGCAGCAGAAAATGTCGATCGTGGTCGTGGATCATAGCAGAACCCAACACACCATCTTGGACAGCCGTCACAACCCGCTTGGCCAGCGCCGCCGCTCTGGCCGATTCGCTGCCCGCTCCTAAATTCATCTCGCCAATGTGACTCAACGTGACAGCCATGTCACTGACATGGCTCGGGCGAGCTACAAACTGGTGCCACCCGACAGCATGCCACACGTTCCACGCGGCCAGTTCCAGCTGGACATCGCGCAAGCCACGGCTGAGGCGAGCCATGGTGCTGTCAACGTGCATGCGACATTCCTGCTCTTGGTCATGAGAAACCATCGTGTGGGTGTCGAATGGCAGCGAAATCACTTGAGTCGTTTGAACAAACCCCAGCGGCAACGATCGCATCACGTTTGACGTGCACACGATGACCACGCGGTGGGTTCCAAACAACGTCTTCGTTGCAATGTGCACTTTGCTTGCTCGGCAAAAGATATGGTAAAACTCGGCAAAGTCCTCGGCTCGCACCAATTCCACGACCACCGTCCCTCCCTTGGCCAGAGCCTGCAACGACAACGATGTCAGCGCCTGCAGGGAGACGTCACTGGTGCACGCACCGTGTCCAGCGCACCCGTAAAGGACATTGGAGACGTCGGGTCAAACATGTATCGGGAACGAAAGCTCAGACGGGCTTTGCTACCCAACGGAGGGCACGTTGCCAAGTCGCTCTCGCTATCGGCAACGACAAGCACAAGAGTGCTAAGGACAGGGTGTCGTGGCGTCCGGGGCTTCCATTCCAGGGACAACACGTCCTGAATGAACAAGTCCATGTGGACTGTCAAGAGTTCAGGACAAATGCATCGCATGACGAGCATGATGTGCAACGACGACAGGGGTGTCGACCACGTGAGCGGCAGTACAAAATGCGGTGGCGATGCATGGAGAGCTTGCGCCACACTCGATTGCCACGCGGATGGATTGCAACGAATGTGCGTCGATATGCCGTCGCATTCGGGAGCCAGCGCTTCGAGGGCATTCAAGTGAGCAAACATGTCGACGGAGTTCCAACGCGCCATCGACTGGCGATGTGGAATGTTGACAGGTCTTGCGTCGTCGCTGTCGTTGGAAAAAACATTGGTGGCGTCGGACAAATTGGTGTCGGTGCTTTGGATGCGCCGTAGGCGATGCAATTGACTATGACCGGCACGTTGCAACGATGGCCGGCTTCGTTGAAGCCGACGGTTTGTTGCCGGTTGTCGCCTTGCATTCCATCCCGTGCTGGCCAAGTAATCTATCACACGAGTCAACGGCGGTGCATTCGGGGTGCGCTGAACAGCGATCAAGCAGTCAAAGAGGCGCCGGCAGTGCTGCGGAAGGCTTGACCTCACGGCAACGTGCAACTGCTCAACGATGTGTGCGACGCGGCCGACGGACGTCTCGACTGCACCGCTGCCTTCATGGGCGATGGCAGTCATGAGTTTGCAAATGCGGGACACAGAATGCATGCAGTGCTTCGCGACGGAACCAAGGTGGTGCACTGCGTGCATCATCTCGGCTATGGAAGTCGCCGCAGTGGCCAAGTAGCTCACGCCATCTTCACTGGATTGTGCATTGGGAGGCCTTGGTGACGACGGACTGCCGTCGACCAGCTTGGCATCGACCGCTCGGCGTTGCTGGTCGTACTTGAGAATTGCATGAATCAAATGTTCTCGCGTCGGGACGCGTTGTAGCTCAACCAACAAACTCACCAACAGCGCGTGCATGTCGACAAAGGTTTGAAGGTTGGTCAATTCCGTCACGGACGTCTGGAGGTTTCCACAAGGTCGCAGCCCCACGAGGGACTCTAGGTGCTCTTGCAAGGCTGGCAGGAGATCGACCGACGTACAGTCGAGAACATTCAGCATCGAACTCTCCTGCCGAGTCAGCTCTACCTGTTCGCCCGCCACAAGGAAGATTTGAAACGAGCCATTCAAGTGGCGTAAAGGTGCATGAGTCGTCGGCAGCGCCAACGACTTGACCGAGCTGCAGTGGCGATGCCAAGTTCGGTTTGCTTCCTTCAATAGCAGCAAGTGGGTCAGAGGGGTCCGACGGTGATGGAGGAACGGCCGCACAACGTCGAACTTGTCCATTGAGAAATGATGCAGCACGACGATGGCGTTGTCGAGGAGGGCGTGGTTGAGGCTGTCCAGCAGATTCGGATCCAAGCACGACAGAACCGTGTGGTGTGTGCCAGGCAGCGCAACATGCATGCGGGTGAAGAAATGCACGAGCGCCGCTTCGGCCATTCCGTACGGGTCCACAAAGAGCGGCGTCTGGCACGACCAATCTGCCAGCAACAGATTCTCCCGCATCATCGAGTTGTCGCGACTGGCAAAGCACACGTCCCCCTCCAAAATCGACACGAGGGACGCAGTACTGTCGGCAATCAAGGCAGTGTCCAACGGCAAAGCAAAGCCATGTCTTGCCAAGGTCGACACTAGCGTCGCCATCCAGTCGGGCCGTGACGATGACGGGATCGATCCAGCATACGCCACGACGCTGGCCAGGTAAAGGAGATTCGCCAACGACGACGTCGAGTGCACCCAGTACTTGGAACGCAGCCACGTCAAGTAATACTCGACAAACGATTGCAGCGGAAACAACCGACTGACTTCGTTCTTGGCCGCATTGCAGTTTGTTTTCGCCTCCGTCGCTTCCATGCTGAGCTCTTCGCGTCGCATGCGAATCGTGTCGACGTGCGTACTCAACTCGAGAGCCTCTGCCCGCAGCTGGTCCAAATTCGCTCGTCGCAACGCCACCTCCTCAACGAGTTCTGTTTGTTGGGTGCGGAGCCCTGCCAGCGTCTGGACCGCAGTCGCTGCCATGGCTTTGTGGTTGAGCCATCGTACGACCGATGCAAACATGGGCTGTTTCGTATGCAGGACAGCCACGTCGGCCAAAGCGAACGCAAGTGCTTGCTGGAATGGCCCGGTGGCAACACTTGCAGGCAGGTCCAAGTGAATGAGCTTGGATGCAAACGCCGGGTCGTCCATGAGGTCGCACGCCGCTTCCATCGACACTTCAGGAACGCGAAATGCCAGGCACAGCGCCGTCGTCATGCGCACGAGTGGCTGGAACGCTCTCCATTCTCCAAGCATGTGCTGTTTGTCAGCTGCGGTCATGGTGCCGACTTCGACATGGTCCAGCGCTTTTCTATCGATGCGAAGCTGCCGCTCAACGTGGTCAACTGCAGCGACCACGTCGTCGAGTTGCTGTTGCAGCAGGGGTAGCTTCCTCTGTTCCAGCTCAATCGTCAACTTGGCGTTGGTCGCAACTTTCGTCTCGATTGTGAACGAGACCTTTTTCAGCGCCGCCTGACGCACGCGGCAACCGTCGTACGCTGCATCCCAATGGAGTCCTCGCTTTTGGGCCGAGCTGAACGACGCACGGACGTCTTCGAGAAGGTCGACCGCCTTGGCCACGTTGTCGATGTGGTCCACCGTGCCGAACGTGATCGACACACGCAGCTCCAAGACGTGTTTGAACGAGTGAAGGAGATTGAAAATGGATGGACAGGACTGTGCCGATGCGATACAGTGATCGCACACGGCGGTGTACAGGTCGACACACGTGTGTGCAATGTTGTTGCACTCGATCTCGGACAGTCCGAGTTCCTTGTGCTGGTCGGCCAAGTGCCGCACAAACCCGAGCGCCGTTTCGACGGGGTGGGTGTCTGTAAAGGACGGCACAGTGAGGACCGTGGTCGGAATCGACCGGTGGGCAAGCAGCGCATCAAGACGGTCCGCCTCCGTCGGCAACGTGGGCATGGCAGTGTCCGGACAGAAATGGATCACGCAGCACAGATTCGACCGCATTCGTCGCATAATGTCCTGCACGACGTGGCCATTCCCAGTGCCCGTGGTCGGGGGAACAAACTTGGTGTGCTTGACCACAAACGCTTGCGAGGCAGCTGTCGCATGGCCACGGAAGAAGTCTAGGCACAATTGGTCAACAATGTCCGTCGTCACCACAACATACCGAGTACAAACGACCAAAGAGTCGGCCACTTGGCCAGGGTGTCGCCGTGGATCGAGAAAAGCACCCTCTCGTTGACGACTCCAGTGAGGTCGCACAGCGTTTCGAGCAGCGTCGTCACTCCACCTACGACGACGTTCATGCACATGGAATGACTTGACGAAATAGGCGCTCGCCATCGGACGCACCTGGAGCCGTGAGTTCATGACAAGACAGGAACTTGGTATGCGACAAATGGCCGACGAGCTTGACCACGTTGTTGTGGCACTGCCGGTCGCCACCAACGACGACGACCTGTTTGTTGGTCTGGAGGGCATCCATGAGCTTGATCCAGTAGCCGACGAGAGAGGAATTCATCGCGCGGACCCAGACCAAGTCGACCTTTCCGTGAACGCACTGCAGGCGAAGGTGCTCGGCCACGATGTGGTCTCGAACGCAAGTGTACATGCCGCTGCTGCTTGTCGCCGTGGAATGCCTGGCTTTGAGGATGGCCGACACCCACGGCACGTGCCAGACCATGCTTTCAAAGTCGACACCAGTCATAGTGTCTTTGGTTCCGACCGCCGCCTGGATGTCGCTCTGAACGCGCTGTCGGTGCGTGTCCGTGGCTAGCGCATCCCACACAAATGTTTTCATATTCACCAGCCACGTCCAGGTCAGGGCGTCGGATTGCGTTACTGGCGACAGCGTCGCGTCCACGATGTGCTGGATCAAGTGGTCGCCAAAGTGATATTGCGGAAGGAGCCGCGGTGGCAGGTCCCGCTTCACTTGTTGAAGCGTCGAGATCGTTCGCTGGACAATCCACAGCTCCTCGGGATGCAGACGCCGACCGACGCTGCGTTCAGTCGTCTCTGCGTAGATGGCGACCAGGTCGTCCCGCGACGGCTCCGTAAGCTTGACAACGTAAAAGTGCCGAAGGAAACGCAGGCGCTCGTGGCTGGAGAGTTGATCCAGCTGCGAATCGCCGACGCTGCCGTAGATCGTGGCATGGACAGTGGCCCACGTGCCGTTGCTGGCGTCAAACAGACGTTGAATGCCGATGGCATTCCGACACAACTGAAACACGCGCGGGTCGTCCAAGCCGACATCGTCGACGAACGCGACCTCGCGGCCCGCTTTCGTCTGAAGCATCCACCGCTTGAGCATTCCGTGCTGGGAGAGCGATGGAGAGTTGAGGAAGTCCTGTGGCGCATCCCGCGAGGCAGCTGCAACACTGGCCCAGTGTTGCAGAGTCGTGGATTTTCCACTGCCTCGCGGCCCGGATACGATCATCGAAACGCCTCTTGAACGTAGCATCGAGTACAGTCCCGACGCAAACTGCATGGGAGAGGTCGCCACGATCGAATTGTGGGGGGACGCAACAAGTGCCGTCATCGCCGAGAACGAGCTGCGGCGGTCGTGGAGCGATGACGCGCTGGCAATTCGGTTCTCGTCCAAATCGATGGCCATGTCAAAGAGCGTGCAGGCATGTTCCAAACAAAGGAGAAAGAGCGCGCCCAGGCTTGGCCACGGCGACGCCTGCCGCTTCTCGTGAACCGATTGCACGACAAACGACTGGAGGCGTTCCCGGTTGGAGGTCGACAAATACGACCCCATGCCCCACATGACTGCGAGAAACAAGCATTGCTCGAGGAAGGGCTCGGCGACGGACGGCTGAAGCGAGTCGTAAATGGATGCAACGAGGTGCAGGATGTTAGCCATCAAGAGGGTCATGGGGTACTTGGGCATCGTGGCTTGGAACGGCAGTGCAAACTCCATCACGCACCGAGAGATGGTGTCACGAACGAACGGCACGAGGGCGATGGTCGGGTGGTCCTTGGACGGCTGCTGTTGCACCCACCGATCGAGTAGATGCTGCCACGTAATAACAACTTGGTCCATGCACAGCACGGTGCAGTTGGTTAGCATGGCCGGCGACAAAGTCGCAAGTGACACGACTTCCAGCACCACCATCGGATTCCCTCGTTCCCGAAGGATAAACTCGCCATGGGGAAGCCATTGGGTGGTCGTCGATGCGAACAAGGATGTTATGTAATCCACCACGGCGCCAGAGGACGGCATCATCCCGTCAAAGCACACGCAGTTGGCAGCCACGCGGTCTTTGGCCTTGAACGCGTCCGACACGATCGCCAGTGCGGTGCTTGGCTCGATCAGTTCATCCAATGGCACGACCGTCAAGCGGATCTTCGCCGGTCGGGCGTCGTTCCCTGCAGCCTTGTCCGAACTTGCGTGAAGCAACGACGCGAGCAGCTGCATGCTTCTCAAGACTGCTTTCACGCACGTGGATTTTGCAGTCTCGGCACTTCCTACGACCACAGCGGGCGTCGCCGCCTTGTGCACACTGTGTATGAGTAACCCAACGCACGTCCCAAACGAAATCGCAAGTCGTACCTGGAGCACGTGGTGCAGCTCGACGCCTTTTTGAACAAGCGACGGGATCGGGGCACAATGCGACCGTTCCAGGACGACTTGGAGTGCCGCCGCAACCATCGGATTTTCAATCGTCAATTCTACCGTGGTCGGGACGAACTGATCGACAACCGCATAGAGTTGTCGCCGGGCGAATATCCCGAGGGGTTCCAACACGAGCAGCAACGCGAACCGAAACACGTTCGCGTCCTTGTACCTTGCCAAGTTCAACGGCGACGCGTCATGGCGAACGTGCCTCCCTTTCCCGTCCTTCGGGCTCTGGATGATGTAGCTGACCTGCTTTGTAATCGCGCACGCCGTCGACGCAATGAGCTGCAGCAACCGCATGGAAAAGAACGACGATTTGTGAGGAGCCGACGCAAAGAGCGTGGCGAGCACGTTGTGCACACGACATATTGCGTCCTAGACCGTACGGTTTGAGTGACCCTGTATCAAACCTTTGAAGCGCCGCTACCTCGTTCATGAACCCCTTGGCTGCCAAGAGAACCCGCAATGCTAACGCTAGGTCGGGGGGCGGGATCGCGACCGGTCGTAGGGGCTCCCCCAGCCACCGCGTGACTTGGGGCTGAGTCAGCGTCGTGCTTTGGTACGGCAAGAAGATGGAGCACGTCATGAGGCCATCCAATGTTGCCGATGACACTTGCAGTGCCCTCGCATGTTGGAGAGTCTCCATTTCAGCCATGACCATGCACAGAAGCGTCACAGGCAGCTCGAAGGCGTTGTCCATGCATCCCCAACCGTGCAAGGCCGAGATTCCAGCGAGGAATCGAGTTAATTGTGGTCGTGTTGTCGAGCTCGTGCAGTGGAGCTGCCATTGGCACCGCATCAAGAGATACCCCAAGCCTTGAACCATGGTGCGCTTGCCAGTGTTGGGGGCGCCAAACGGCATGGCACACACACTCAAGCGCATGGCGTGGAAGAGGGCAAACATGCACCTCTGGGTCTCGGGTAAGATGACCATCCACGGCATCTTGGGCTGGACTTCAAGTCCGCACGGGACAACGAGATGGCCCATGCGGGCCTGCCTCGTCGGCATGTCTTTTGAATCGCACGACCGTGGCGCCGCTTGAGCCAGGCGAAAGCAGTTGTGCCACTCGTGGACAACATCCGTCCAGTCGCGAGAATTCGCCACTTTCGTCAGGCGGCGCATCATGCTGTCCTGGTACGACATCCATACAATCGCATCTTCAACCGCGACGTGGCACTCGTTAGCCGCTCGCATGGACGCAACCAGTTTGGCAAAGTACACTCGATGGGCTGCAGCGGTGGATGCCAGCAATGCTCGAGACGAACTGATGTGTTTTGGAGAGGCCGCCACGACGTTCTCCACGACGGTACAGAATTGCAAATGCAGCAAACTCAGTGCCACTTGGGGGGGCACCGTCGCGGACCACGTGAGCATACAATCCACTGGGTTCGCCATCGATGGAGCTGTTGCGGTCGGGTCGTACGTGGTGATGGTGGCGTGCAAGTGGGCAACCTTGACCGCCAGCGAATGCGCCAAGACCATGTCAAACTGACCAAGCCAGAACGAGAGCGGCCCGAGGACTTTAACGGGGCGATGCAGGGGCAGCGTCCACGGGGAACGCTTGTCTGGAGTGCATTGAAATTCGACTGTATGGAGGAACGACACGGCATGGTCACCGAGAAGCCACGTCATGAAATCTGCATCCATGAGGCCCGCGATTTGACCGGCGGACGTCTTCGGTTCCGCAGTTGCCGGCGGAGTTGTCGCTGCATGCACTGTGCCCACCCCAGGGTAACACCGCTGGATCGCCATGGTTGGCGCGTGAATTGATGACCTTCGAAACAATTGGAGCATGTCGGCGTCCGAGACAAAATACAGCCGCCCAAACGACGACCGCAAGGACGCCAGGTACGAGTCGACTATTGCCCGAATGCGGTCGCACAGCCCCAGAAACGATGGAAAGTCGACGGCTTGGAACACGGTCTCAAGCTTCACCATGACATTCGCTTTGCGATCGCCAGAGTCTTCCCACCGATACACTGCCAACAAGCATTCACGCCATGTGGACTCCATGGCCCCAACGGCTAGCCACATACTGGCGTCGTCGGCATGCGCTTGCACCTCGGGCATGGCCGCGGCAGTGGAGAGTGTTGACCACTGCGATTCCATGGTGTGGATCTTGCTAAGCAGCGCGATGGCGTCCAAAATGCGCGTCTCAAGGCGCTCGACGTCATGCAGCCACGGATTCTGGCCGTGGCGAACTGGCAACAACGTCATGTGCGCATCTTCCAACGACGCTATGAGCGCCAGGCAGTTGGTTACGTGCAAGTCGTCGTGGCTCGCGGTGCTCTCAAACTCAAACGTCAGCGCCACCACGACTTGTTTGACAGTGCTCATCGTGTCCTGGATGCGTGTTTCGGCCAGAACAGCACTGTTGAGTTCCATTAGCAATTGCGTTGACGCGGGCGTCTTGAGAGCAGTTTCGAGGTCTTGCAACGTGCATGTAGTTGCACCTGGGCGGTCCAAGTGCGCTGTGAGCCGACCCCATCGAGCGTCCGTGAATTGGGAGTGCACCATGGTGACGGCAATTGCTACCGCATCGTCCATGACCTGGATGCTGGGGTAAAACTGCGCCACCAATGGGTACACGGTGCCGCCCAGCATCGCGCAATACGGCTGGGACTGCTTTTTCAAACTTGCAAGCTTCGTCGCAAGGGATGGGAGGTCGAGGTCGGCAAGGGGCGTGCCGATCGCTCGAGTTCGAAGCTGCACATAAGCTTGGACAATGCCAAGAAGGAAGAGGACTGCATGGAGGCGATCATGGTCCTTGTATATGTGGTCGATGGACATTTGCCGGGTTGAGTGGCGACGCTGCTGGAGCCCCACTTTCGCAGAGCTCGTTCGAAATGCGTCCACGAGCGATTCAAACTTGAGCAGGACGGCACTTTGGTCCACGAAATGGCGAACGACGTACACGAGTTGCTGAACATCGGGGCCGCCAAACCCGTCGGCCGGAAACGAATCAAAGATGCGCAGAGCCGACATGGCTTGGTCCATCTTCGCCGACGCCGACGCAAATTCGAGTGCAAGGGCGTCCCGCCGTGACGAGTATGTGCGATGAAACAGGTCCAGGTAGAACGGCTGGTTCGCTTCAATGCGGCTCATGTTTTCTGCCAATGCTTTGCTCTTGAACCGCCACGCATCTACCAACGCCCATGAACGTTTGGATATTGATGGGACGCGGAAGATCCACGGTCGCCAACTCACTGCTTCCAGACTCGAACGATGTGATGAGAGTGGCGCGCAGGTCGTCCGAGAGGACGTCGCAGTGTTCCTGGCTCGAGTCAATGAGTCCCTTCAACGCGTTCAGCTGCGGCTCCACCAGCACATTCGACGACAGTTTTCGCTGGAGTGAGCAATAGCACTCGAGCCACCTTGTGCACTGGGATTATTCACACACAGGATGCTTGGAGTTAGCACACACAGTCAATGGACTGTCGCTACCTCGTCCACGGACTCGGGGATCGACGCCATGGTGGTGGCATTCCGCTCCAGGTCGTCCAACACGGCCGTCATGAACCGGTGGACATGGCGGGGCAGTGCGCTGTACATCTCTGTAATTGTCGTCTTGCACTCGTGCAGCATGTTGCCGACAAAGTTGCTGCGATCAACGAGGAAGCACCCAACTTGGAGGACGCTGTCCACGACAGTCAGTTCACGGCGATATGCAATGAACATTTGCATCGCACGGCAAATGTCGGCGGTCGCGGCGATGGCATCCACGGACAACGGAAGCGTCGCCGTCGAGATCTGGGTCGCTTGTAGCTGGCGAAAGTTGGCTTTGAGCGGCACGCATGTCGATGCCAAGTGCTACGAAGAACACTGTACGTGGGCAATCCCGACGGCATCTCAAAGAGGTACTTCGATCTCGGCAAAGTAAATGTCCATGGCTGCCCGAAGCCGCGTCATGGCCGTCGCCACGTGCGTGTGATTGTTCACAATCACCGAGAGCGGATGGATGTCGTTCGCAAAACAGTGCCGATAATACGGGCGGCAATGGTCGACTACAAACTGGCGGACGCGGGGCCTCGCGCTGACGCGGCCGACGCTGTCGATGGCGCCGATGTAGCGCGCCAAAGAATCGTGCAGCTTTCGTAACCACGCTTCTTTCGGCGGCGAAATCGTGCAGGTCGTCGCGTCGTGGATGGCAATGCGGACAAAAAAGAGTGGGTCTGGCGCGCGTTGGGCGCTGTGCAATTGGAACAGTCGCTTGTACGCGACGCTGCCTACTGCATGATATGCCATGAGGGCTTGCCCGGTGCTCTCCTGTCCACCTGTGTGCTCAAACGGGCGAGCCAACAACGAGTCGACCTGTGAGTGCACATCACAGGACGCTGCCGCCGCATCGACGTGGATGTGGCCTTGACTCGGCATGACTCCTGTCATGGAATGCAGAAGTGTGTCCATGGAGGTCGTGACCGCTTCAAACAGCGCTTCGACCACCATCAAGTCCACCACACGGATAAACGTCGGGATGACGTCTGTGCACGCAGCGACAGCTCCATACCGACCGTGGCATGCCAAGAGTGGCGCAAGCGCCGTGTAGATGAGCGCTTCGAGGTTGCTCATGGTCGCGTGCAGGTCGGAAAGCTGGAGTTCGTAGCTAACCTGCACATCCATCCATGACACACTTCTGGTTAGTTGGTCTCCAACGATGCAGCGCACCTCGGCGGTGTCGTCGAATGCAACGGGAATGGACGTGTCGACAATGGAGCTGGTTGCTACCTGCGCCATCTACACCAGCGGCGCCGTCAAGTCATGGAGTTGTCGGACTGCATTCGAACCTGCAGCGCCATGTGGCGAAGAGAAGGCACATGTGGAAGGACAACAGGGTTGCACCAAAGGAGCTTGTGCATTAAGTGTTTTCTGGTCGCTGAGTGAGGTCGACCGGCTCGGCGGCGGTAGTCGCTCACCTGGCTCGCGCAAACCGCATCCCAATCGAGTTTTGCTTCCACGTGTGGAACGTTGTCATTTTCCGCATGAGCTGAATGCACGGCATGTGCACGATTTGATCAAAGATGGCCTTCTCTGTCAACCACGTCGCGACGTCATGCACTTCTACACGGCGCATTGTTCCATCCAGTCGGTCGACGTCCTGGCAAGGCATCCAACACGAGCAGTACCGGTGTCCGTGCCCATGACATGGGTCAGCGCGTGCGACGTCAGGGTGAAGTAGGGCTGCCTCAAGTCCAGCGACTCGACGGCGACGCGACGGAGCCAATACACGTTGGTAAATTGACATGGCGGCGATGGGTCGTATTGCAGGTAGTGGATCGTGAGGGGCTTCCGCGCCGGGGCGAACACGGCGTCGGCCACCGTTCGGATTTCTATGCCCATGGTGTGAATGCGACCGGCTCAGCTTCACACACCTTTGAGCTGGATGACGCTGTCGTCCACTGCCGTGTGTGTGTCGACGATGTGCAGGCAGTAGGCGAGGAGCTTGTCCGGGGTGTCTGCCGCCCATGACACCGAGATGAATCCGTCACGAAGGCTACGACAAGGTGACGTACCAACGATGCCAATCGCGAGTGTTTGGGGAGGATCCTGTGGCAATGGGACAAGCTCCAGAGGAACGGTAGGTCTGCGATGAACGTCGACGTTGTGCGGTCGACGGTGTGACGATGTGATTCGATTCACCAAGTTTGGGCATTCGTGGGACGATTGGTTTTCGTTGGCTTGCTGAGCCAGTGCCAGAATGTGGGGGTTGCATAGCGTGCGTACTCGCTTGCGTCCAGCAGTGGGCATCGCTCGCGCGTGGAAGCGTCGCCGATGACGGTTACGAGTGAAACTGCCACGCGATTCCATTGCACTTGGCCCGAGGAATGGCAATACGCAACCCCAGCGCATCGCTGCCGACATCCCCCACATCGCGACGTCGACGATGGCTGCACCGTTGCGTCGTTGTCGTGGGGTTGGTTGCGTTAGCACTGGCATCTTGTCTGTGTCTGGTTGGCGGCCTCAAGCCGTCGCTGGTGGACGATCCACACGTTGTTTCCAACGGCACGTCAAGAACAGCGCGTGGAGCTGAGGATTGTCCTGAAGCACGCTACTTCCTCGTCGGCAGCGGTGGTCTTTTAGCTGCATGGCTCGTCGTTGGTCTCGTGGCCTTTCAGTCTCGGGCGCCGCCACCTGCGATGACGATGCTGGCAATTCTGTTGTGCTTTGTCACTGTGGTGGCTGGCATCGTGGGGGCAATTCTCGGTGGTCACGAGATATGTGCGCAATCCCGTCCGACTGAATTCACCCTCACCATTGCGACGTCCTGCGTGTTTGTGGCAGTGTGTGCCCCATTGATGGGAATTCTCGTACACTATGTCGTGCGCCATGTATCCTCGCCTGACTCGGTCCGTTTTCCGCCTTTCCAAACGTTGTTCTCGACTGATGCTCTCTTTCCCCATGTAGAAAGGGTCCGGACTCGTTGGTGCACTGCGCTGCACGAGCATTGCCCACAGTACCCGTCGGTGCTTGGCTATCTTGCCGTTTGGTATGCTGGCAGGCGTCGCAGTCGTTCTCGTGTTGGTGTACGCCCGCCGCGGCGAGGGCTGTTCGGAGCCATTCGTTCTCTTCTTGGTCGTGTCCAGCGGATTGCTGGGGTTTATCCTTGGCGTCGCGCTGTGGTGCTATCTCCATCCCCACTCCTCCGCCGCGTTTTTGCCCTACCTGCTTCTTGGTCACGCGGTCACAACCGTCGGATGGGCCATCGTTGGGACGGTGTGGATTCGCTCGAATGCGGCCGCACCTGTACAATGTTCTGTCGGCCTTGTCTCGGCCGTCCATTGGCTTCGCATGCCGCTGTTTGTGCTTGGCATTGCACAGATCATGCTCACATGCTGCTGCAAACTCGAGCGGCTGTGTTTACCGCTGGTCGTGCCCACCGACCACACTGTTCAAGTCGTGTAATGTGAAATATATGTAAAAAACCACGTCCGGGGTCGAATGCACATGTCCCCGACAGGCGGCATCTCGTCGGGTCTACGGCTGCGAAGCGTTCTTGATGCGCGATGCGAGGGCTACAAACACGTCTTGGTATTGAAGCCTACGACGCACCGTCAACCAAACACATCGCGTTGTGGCCATCGAGTCGATGGTTGTTTCGCACCATGCCGCCTGTACGCTCGGCGTGGCGGTCTCGCACACCGCGCCTCCTTTTTGCAGCAACGCTTGCAAGAGCTCCGCACGTGCCTATTTTTCAAATATATTACGGATCCATGCATGGAGCGGTCTGGACCACACGTACTCGGTTGTGCAGCACGACCGTCAGCGACTCGAGCGTCTGGGGCGCCATCGCGAACTCGATGGACTGGGCCAGGACTTCAGCGGGCGGGGATGGATGTTGGTACTGCAGAGCGACCACGAGCGTCTGCACTAAGCGGACAATGTCGGCACTCGCGCCTTCATCGGGGTTTGCAGTTGTCAACGACTGCACTAGCACAAAGTGCATCAAGTGCGGTAGCATGGCAAAGCGGGCCGACGGATGCAACAGTGGCAATGCACGGCAAATCAACTTCTTCCCCTTGGACACCGACAGAAGACTGTCGAGGGCCGCGCGGTCAAAGCCGTCCGCTGGTTGCTTGTGGTTCGTCACCCCCAGGACCTTGGCCAGGTCCAGGAGCAGCGACGTCGTCTTACTGCGCAGCTCCACGAGCGGAGGGTCCATCTGCGCCGGGTCCATCTGGTGAAACTGCGCCACGTTGATGCGGCGGGCGTCCAAAATGTGTCGGGCGTCCTGCAGCGCCAGCAGATGCACCAGGCCCTCGTCAATGCGCTGGCGCTTGGACCACGTGTCGTTCAAAAAAACAGACGTCGCTGGCGTCGACTCCCGCACGAGCGCGACTTCTCCGGTCGACGCCACGTTGTTTTCGTCCGTCAAATGGAGCGCTTCGCGAGGACGGTACAGGCTCGACTTGGCCATGCGCCCCAATACGTGGTTCGTCGTCTGCCATACGCGGGACTTTGTGGCACGAGATACGTCCTGGGGATCAATCGTTTTCATGTGCTGGAGCTTCCACGACGGCAGCGGCAGCGCAGACGATGCGCCGGTGGACGGGGCCACCACACGTTCCCGTTTCTAACGCACATGAGTCAAGTTGACGCCGAGCATGTCGTACCACGCGGTAGTTGTGGAAATAGTAGTCGTCGCTGAACGGGTCGCTCGATCGAATCTGCTTGAGTAGTTGCTGGACAACGAACTGGACGTCTCGTGGGTTCATGAATTTGAACACCTTTTCGTTCATGATCGCATGCGGCGTCGGGCCATGGAACCCCTGAGGGGGCGGCAAAGGATGGCCGTTCGGGTGAAAGCCATAAGGAGGAGGGACAACGCCCCCGTAATGGCCTGGCATGGGTGGTGGAAGTGGGTAGTGTCCTGGTGGCGAAGGATACGGCTGAGCAGGGGGTTGCCGGGCAGGAGCTTGTGCGACAGGAGGCGGAAGGCCTGGTGGAAACGACGGAGGTGGAGGCAAGGACGAAGGGATCGGAGGAAGAACCGCTGCTTGCTTGGTAGCGCGCTGCTTGTCGTCGTCGTCATCCAAGCCCAGGTCGTGAATCGTCAAGTTTTCCAACAGCACGTCATCGTCGTCGTCTTCCTCCGTGTACAAATACGTAGGCGGCTTCGTGGTGGTCTCGACAGTTGGAACGTTCTTGCGGCCTTCACGTAACAACGCAAACTCGTGCTGGCTACGAGCCCATTCGAGATCGGCCTGAGTCGGTGCGCTGCCGACGGGGGCGGAGGCAAACCCAGGTGGCGGGGCGCGGGTTGTAGCTGCCGTAGGCGCAGTGCGTGGCTGTTGAGATGGCATATACGCCGGCGACTTCGTGTCGTTGGGGACGCTGCCACTGAAAATCGCTGAAAAATTGTCATGAGGCAACAGGGACGACGTTGGCCGACCTGACAACCCGCCAGTGCCAAATGCATCAAAGCCCATGTCATCCACAGGTCCCAAGAGGTCATGCGCACGGAGATCTTCCAGCAATGACTCATACTTCTTATCATCCACGGACACCCCCGTGAAGAACCCTAACGTGCCCTGACCGCTCTCTTCCCTTGATGCCATCGTGTCAAGTCAAGACACTACCTTTAGTATCCGGATAATGATCGGGGTTATCCGGAAACGGCCAACGTGTGGCGCGCCTCGTCGACACCGTCGACGCATGACATGATGGAGAGGGCGTCGTGTTGCGGAAGTTATAAAGGAGGATGTGGATGGAAGGCGGCTTACGCTTTGGATTTTCGTCGCTTGGAACTACTCGAAGACGACGACGAAGGGCGCGATCGTTTCTTGCTACTGCCGCCGCTGCTCGAGCTTTTGTGTTTTTTGGTCGCCTTTGCCGATAAGGTCTCGTCCTCTGTCGCTGCTTTGCTCGCAGTTTCTTCGTTCTCCTTCTCGATCAGCTTGGTGAGGAACTCGCCGCGTTTCTGCAGCTCGACGATCGTGCGCGACTTGAAGAACCAGTCGAATCGAAATTGCCATGCTTTGCGGATGTCGTCCTTGATCGCGTTCCATTCAAACCCGTGTTCGTGCATCATGCACACAAGAAACACGTCTTCGTCGTGGGTGAACCCCTTGCTCTTGTACCCGCCTGGGTACTGAAGCTTCATGTCCCGCCACGGGTTCTTGTACATCGCGCACTAGACAGAGCAGTACCATCACACACGGGTCGTCCACTGCAACTCCTCGAATTTTTCCGACATACCTTGGCCGCCAGTGCCTCCTTCACGGCTTGGTTACGTGTGAGGCGCTTCTCGCCCTTTTCGATGCGCTCGATGAACTTGGACCACTCCTCTAGCTCGTCTGCTCCTCGCGCCCAGAACACGTCGTAGTATTCGGCCACGCGCGTGATTTCTTTCCCGAGCGCCGTCGCCGTGTCGGCACAGATGGCTTCCTTGTCGTGGCGGCCAAATTTCTCGCAACTGGCGACGAGCTGCTTGAGGTCGCGCCGAGTCCAGTCTCCAAACCCGTCGTGCTCGAGCGCCTCCAATGCCAAGCGGTCAACCTCCGGCATCTCCATGCCTTCCAGGTCAGCTTCGAGTTGCTTGAGCTTATCTTTGGCCTCGTCGTCGTCGAGCTTGCCAGACTTGGCTTCCTTGATCAGCTTGAGCTGCTCCTTTCGTTGAAACTCAACGTCCAGGCGCTTCTGTAGCAGCGGAATCATCTTGTCCTTGTCGAAAAACTGAAAATCATGCACGATGGCGACCTTGGGTCGATTCTCTTCGTCGGGCTTCTTGACCTTCTTCGGCTTTGTCTGGCCCGTCTGCTGGCGGTAGTACTCGTCCACGTCGTAGTTGGTTTTGCGCTGACGCGCCGGCAACGCGATAAAGGTGGACGGCATGACGCCGCCCGTTTCCAGGGCATCTTTGGCAAACTTTTCGCCCTCAAACTCGTACAGGCTCGATACAGACGACAAGCTAAAGTTCTTGAGATTGTGCTGCATGTCTTCGTTGATTTTGGCTTTCATTCCCTCTGTGCGCTCCTCGCCCTTGGCCAAGATGGCGTCGATGTCGTCGTCTGTGATCATACTGCCTTTGGCGTTGAAAATCTCGTCCGCTCCAAACCGGACCATCGTCATGAGTTCATCCTTGCTCAACTTGCGGTTCTGCTGCGCAAGACGACCCTGCTGAATGATTGCCGCGTCCAGGTACAGCTTGCGCTCGGCCCGTTCGACGATCTTTTCTTCGACAGTCCCATCCGTGATGAATCGAAAGACGCGGACCGGTTTGGTTTGCCCGATGCGATGGGCGCGATCCATTGCTTGCAAGTCCACCTGTGGGTTCCAATCCGAGTCGTACAAGATGACAATATCTGCTGTTGCCAAGTTGATCCCGAGGCCGCCGGCGCGCGTGCTAAGCAGGAACGCAAACTTGGTCGAGTTGGGCGCATTGAAAACGTCCATGTACTCATCGCGGAGCTCGCCCTGAGTAGACCCGTCTAAACGACAGTACTCGTGGTTGTTGTACCGCATGTAGTCCTCCAGGATGTTGAGCATGCTTGTCATTTGGCAAAAGATCAGGACGCGGGAGCCCTGGGCCTTTAGACGAGGGAGCAACTTGTGCAGGAGCACGAGCTTGCCGCAGTTTTCCCACAAGTGCGCGCCTTCCACAAATGGCGGTCCAGGCTCGGCGCCGTCAAACAGGTACGGGTGGTTGCATACTTTGCGAAGCTGCATCAAAATGTTGAGTAATCGCACGCGATCGGATCCGCCGATGGAATTCAAATGGGTCGCGTCACGGTGGAGGACGCGCGTATACCATTCTCGCTGCATTTCCGACAGCCCAACGTACAACTTGGTCTCTGTCTTGGGGGGAAGCGAGTGTTCAACATCGGTCTTGAGGCGACGCAGCAGAAATGGCCGCAGCACCGTGTGCAGCTTCTTGATGACGTTTTCGTGGCCAGCTTCGCCATCCACGTTAAACCACGAGTCAAAGTCTTCACTGGCTGTAAACACGTCTACAAACACACAACGTCACGACCGTGGAGGACGGGGAACACATACCAGGGAGTAAAAAGTTGAGAAGCGCCCAGAGCTCGTGCAAGTTGTTTTGGAGCGGCGTGCCCGTGATGAGCAAGCGGTGCTCGACGTCAAATTCGCGCACGACCTGCGACAACTTGGAGTTTTCGTTCTTGATGCGATGGGCTTCGTCGATGAGCATGTACTTCCACTGGAACTTTTTCAGCGTCGTCTTTTCGATGATGGCCACTTCGAACGACATGACACACACGTCCCATTTGACGGACTTGATCGACTCGCGCAGGACGTTGCGTTGGTCCTTGTCGCCCATGAATTTGAACGTACGAATGGATGGACACCACCGTCCGAGCTCGCGCATCCAGTTGCCGACCGTCGACTTGGGCACGATGATCATGTGCGGCCCCTTCATGGCTGCGGCGATTAGGGACAAAAAAGTCGATATCCACGATACCTCGAGATTCGCGCAAGTACGCGAGCAACGAGATGCTTTGGAGCGTCTTTCCGAGCCCCATTTCGTCGGCCAGAATGCCGTTCACACCCGAATCGTGCAAACGGATCATCCAGTTCAACCCTTCCAACTGATACGGCTTCATCGTGCCAAATGCAATGTTCGACGGCTGCTTATCCACACGTGTGAAGCGGGACTCTTCTTCGGCCAAAATCGCCGCTTGGTCGTCGTCATCGCCGCCTTTCTTGACGGAACGTCGGTTGTAGTCGCCGTCCGCTTTGACGTTGTCCCGTTGTTTTTTGTTCATGGCCTTGCCAACGGTGGAACTTCCACCCATGAGAAATGACGTAAAGACATCCGACTAACGTGTCGAGTGGACATGAGAAATCATGCGGAACTATTGCAGAGGGTCAAACCTGCGCCATGAGGAATTGCAGGCGTCGGTCGGGGCTTGCCTTCGATGTCGTTGCTGCTGCTTCCTGTTCTTGCTCGCGCAAAGCTTCGAGCGCCTTGAGTTGACTCTCCTTTTGCTTCTTCAATGCTTCTTCCTCTTCTCGGATCAGCGCTTCCCGTGCTGCCTTGTCTTCAGAGGACAACTCTTCGTCTTCGTCTTTCACATCCGTTGCGAACGGAAGGGACGACGACACATCCGCGTTCTCATCGTCTTCCGCACTAGAACTCTCACCAGCGTCAGATACACCGTCCGAGTAGGACTCGACATCGTCGGACGCGACGTCCTTGCCACCATTGGCAGCTTGATCCAACGCTGTCTTCTCCACCGTAGCCATAAATCCAAGGAGTTGTGCAAGGTTTGGAAAAACACGACGATGCTTGGATTTTATTGGATAAAATAAAACATAATGCTGCGATTTGATTCGCTACAGTTTGAAAAAATGCCAACAATCTCCATTGGTCAACCAACACCATGCTGAACGCTGATGACGGAAAGCCGGTGAAGAGCGGCGGCGGCCGCCAAAGCAAGCGCCGCAACGAACGCATTCGTACCTTCTACAAGATCAACAACAACGCGCTAAAATCGAGGGAGAAGCTTCCGCAGGAAGAGATTGCTGCGTATGTGACCCACATTGACAACAAGTGCTTGGCAAGTATGGCATGGTCGTGGTGGACAGACGCGTCATTGAGATTGTTCATATCTTTTGGGTGGTAGAATTCGGCGTGATGAAGCTGTCCAAGTACGATCTCAACGTATCTTGTGCAGTGGCACAAGACAATGAGACGCCGTTGTCGCTGCTTGGCTACGCGGCGATCCATTCACCCCACGTGTGCCTGTCGTTGCTTTACGCAGGAGCCGACCCTTCGTACGACTGCACCAGTGATGTTGTTGTTGACCCAGAGTCCCGCGCGTTGTTACTTCGATACCCTATTCAGTATATCGTCTGGATCATCTCGTTGCTGGCATTGTCCACAAGTCGCCTCCACGGTGGGTCATGCGCACACTGCAACGACACTTTAACAGTCCTCGTTTTGCTGTCGCCATGTCGCCATGCCGTCTGCCAACGCTGCTTTTGGTCGCACGTGTCTCAACTCCTCATTGATCAAGACCTGACGTGCCCTCGCTGCCTCGGCGAAGTGGCGAACGCCGCGTCCAAGTGTGGGCTCCGACCAGTACCTCCTGTCGCCACGCCACTCGAAATCTCCCTCAAGTCCCTGGACGCGTATTCCCATTTGTCTCCTATCCCCCCGAAGGGCCACAAGAACGTCAAGCCCGCCATCGAACCGCTCCCTCTCTGGCGCGCTCTCCACTTGTACGTGGGACTCACCCCAAAGCAACGCGACGCCGAGATGTTCAAGGCCGTCCTGGCCAAAAATGCCGGTCGACTCGAAGCGTTGGTGCAAGAAGGAGTCGATGTCAATTGCCGCAACGAATATGGTCAAACACCGTTGTTTGTGGCGGCATGGATGGGGGAATCCAGAGTCGTGCACGTCCTACTCGCGTCTGGCGCTGCCGCCGACGTCACCGACAACGCTGGCACGTTTCCTCTTCAATGCGCGTTGGCAAATGGCCATGGCGCGGTGGCGTCGCAGTATGTTCTGCCTCACCCGTGAGTTGAACCAAACGCAGATCTCACTCTATTTGTAGACTTTTGGAGGCCGCGCCATCAACCTTTTGCAGTCGAGACGACCCTGGACCGAGTGCTGTCTTGAACACCACAACGCCAAGCGATCGGTTCATCGAACTAATTCCCTTGACGTCGTTGCATCCAGGGGCTGGCAGCGGGTACTACGACAATATCTTTTCGGAAGCGTTCTTGGAGCGCCTCGAATCGCTCCATCGCGACCTCCCTGTTGCGCCCAAAGAGAAAGCGTCGTGTTCGAATCGATCGTACTACTGCGACGCGCTTGGCTGGGTCATGGACGGAATCCGCCGTGCTTGCGGTCGTGCCGTCTTCCCCAATATGCGCTTCCTCCATTACACAGACGTCGGAGGCAGTTTACCGGCACATGTTGATTTGTCTCGCACCGACAACCATGGCGTGACATCTACGAAGACATTTATCATCTACCTCTCCACATGCGCCAGTGGCGGAGAGACCAATCTTCTCACCTCGATCCACGCAAAGGACCACAATATCTTGGCGGCGGTCAAGCCTCGCCGCGGCAGACTGCTAATCTTTCCCCACTTGTGTCCACACGAAGGCGCCGTCGTCGAGCATGTCCCCAAGCTGCTTCTTCGCGGCGAAATGTACTAACAGTTCATTTATCGGGATTATCAGAGTGTTGGTCGTGTTTATCCGGAAAATTTGAAATCGCATCGCAGCACTCGATCACGATGGACGTCCTGGCCAAGACTAGCTTCTCGCGGATGCGCGAGACTAAGGGCATCAGCGCCACGGACGTGTATAGCTGTCCAACAATGGATATTGTCGCGTTCATCACGACTGATCATCACGTGCTGGTCTACGTACGTGATGGTGTCATCGTTCGACCTTCTCACAGCAAACTCGTAGCAATCGGTGGAGTGGAAAAGACTGTTGCACATACAGCCATCCGACTCGGCGACTGAAGTGACGCATGTTGCATGGCGACCTTGCGGTGAGCACTTCATGTTGCTGACTCTGCCCTCAGCAGTGTGTTTTATGAGTATGTAGGCAAGTCGTTGGCCATCGGGCGTCGAGATGGGCAAGTACACTTGCACGACATCGAAGCCGAGCCCGATTCGTCGTGGCAGTCTTTTGACAACGTGGGTGGTTACCATCACAAGTATCCCATTGTCGCATTGAGTTGGACCAAGTATTCCTTCTTGCTTCATCGAGCATTGACTCACTAACATGTGGAAAGTATGACAGGGTGCGCGACGGCCAGGATGAAAGATCTCACGCCATCTTACTTGATGAACCCCCCCTCATCCTTTTCAAGCACTCCAATCACGTACACTTCCATCTCGGCTATTCCCGAAGACCAGCATCACGTCCTTGTGTCGGCCGACTCAAACGGGACAATTCTCATTCGTGTCTGGGGCAATGTGTGTTTGGCTCGGCTAGACACGAACCGCACCGACATCCGGGCGATCTACATGCCGCACAACGATGCTTCGTCCGTGCTGGTCGCGACTACCAACGGTGACTTGCTTCACTACACCTTCGACATGTGTCCAGAGGAGCTGTTGTTTGTGGTGGGCCACCACATTCGTGAAATTCAGGGCCAGTGGGCCACTATCACGTCAGCTCTCAAGCAGCTTCAAACCGAAGTAAATGCCGCCGTTTCCTCCTTCTTGTACATTATTTCTCATGTCGACGCGTTTCTGCAGTGGGACAACGGCGTGCGTCTGTTCGAGGCGAAGTTTCGTCTGCTCCGAGGGGAATACGCCAAGTACGGATGCAAGCAAGTCCCTCAGGTGAGAAAGACCGTGTCGAACGTTGACGATCGGTGGCCAGCCGCATGGACGCGGTTGAAATATTGGGTAGATGCACCTGTACACGTTGTTGTGCAGTGGGCTGTGCTACCCTGCGCTGGAGTTGTTTCTGTCGCAGTATTTGCAGGAACAGGCACGTCCACCGCTCGACACGAGTTGGCGACTCACAACGGTGCACAGAGCATCTTGAAGATGCAAAAGACATTTGCGCATGGATGTCATGCCGTCGACGGTTTGGTACGACAGCACGGCAACTTTGTCGACGTCATTCGTTCGATTGCTAGTTGCACGACCACCTTGCTCCAAGTGCGGCAACGATTCTGTTTCGGTTGAGTGAGCTACGCGGTCTTGGTCGCTTTCACGCGTTGTCCTTCAAGGTTGGCCTGTGTGGCGCTGCAGCGACGGGCGCTCATTGCTTTCTTCGTAGCACATTGGGCTGGACATGGCAGTGTTGTCCAACGTGATGGAGTCCATGGAATCGCTTGCGCTCGATCTAAGCGCCATGCAGCGTGCCGTGCGGGAAACGGCAGTGGATTTCGGTCTGTTCTTGGACTGGGTTGGCGACATGAGCGCGTTTGTGACGAGTACGCCGCCCTCTCGACGATGTAGTGCTGACACGCGTTCGTAGACAAAACAGCCACGGGATCACGCAACCCCATCGACACCCAACGCCTCGGGTGCTTCCTCAATCGTGCGTACCATGTTGCGATTGCATCTCGCCAGAAAGACCCGACGGGAGACATCGAGCTCACATTTGGCAACCCCGTGCCGCAAGTTTGTCAAATATACATCCTATATAGCCTTCACATGGACGACGGTATAGGGAATTGCATCGTTGGTGCGCGAGAAGGAACGAATTCACCGGCAGTGGACTGCGCTGCTCGACCAAGAGGCCGCCTCGACGCGCTCCACGCCGCTTGCAATTTCCAAACGCTTGGCCCTGCTGTCGCCACCCAAAACCGTCGTGTTTGGGCCCCAATTCACTGTCGCTTTTGGAAACCAGTCGCCGGTCGTGGTGCTCGACACTGCCACGTGGGTGGCACTTGCAACTCCTCCGACCGCGCCGTCGTTTCAAGTGGTACGACGCTTGTCCAGGGTGTGTGTGTTCATGACAGATCCAAAGGTGCAAGCGAGCATGTACGTCCGAGAGGCCGCTGCCCCCCGCGTAGCCGTGGTCGTATCCGATGGGTACCAAGGTGCACCCATCACAAGACCACCGATCGACCGTCTCACTCGAGTTTTCGCGGTAGCATATTTGCAATTGCTCCCCGTCGAGACGACTGCGATGGGTTCGTCTCCTTCACGGGCACAGGTGCGGCGTGTGAAGGATGCACGGACAAAGGCGTGGCCGGGCTGGCGTTTATAAAGAGTTGTAGGAGCACGAATGCATCAGATCGAGGGCGTTGATCGGGTGGTCGACGGTGGTATCGCTGGTCGCGAACGGCACGCGCGGAGTCCTTTGTCTCCTGTCCCACCAACACTCAACGTTTGTCATGTACGACGGCGAGTGCGACGACAGTGAAGTGGACGATGAGTGAGGAACGTTGAACGCACCAACCTCTTCGCTGCCTCCTGTGCTAGCACCTATGCTTCGCTCCACCACTGCAGTCTGTGGAAGCAGCGTGATGCAATCAACAAGCGACGATGGTTCACATTTTGTTTACGGATCCAGTGAGCATACCAGCAGCGGCATTGGACCCAGCATTACGCGGTGCAACAATGTGCGCTGATGCAACGGTCAAGATCAGGTGCGTTGGCAACCCGACACGACGAGCCAACGAGCCCAGGACGACCTCACAAGGAGTCATGAGCGAAAACAGAAGCAGACTCGCGACGCGTCGGGCCTTCTACTTGTCGTCGCTGTAATGGTGGTGCGTCTCCATGCTGATTACTAGCAACGACATGGTCTTATGCGCCAAGATCCCGTGGAGGGTTATCCATGCCGGTTCGCGTGAGACGCCGA